CCCCACAAAGAGCTTAAAATACAGAGAACAAGACTGATTCTGGACACAAGTGAAACAGAGGCTGACAAGTTTCAAGCTTGGACCTTGTTAGACTTGAGTGGCTTGACTACCTCCCAGGTGAAATCAGCATCGTCCCTTCCAAAGTGACCATAAGCCGCAGTCTTCAAGAACCTACCATTACCTCCTCTCTTCAAATCCAAGTTAATGGAGATCATACCTGGCCTGAAATCAAAACTCTCCTTCACAATCTCAAGAATCTCCTTGTCTGGTATCTTTCCGGTTCCATAGCTGTCCACAAACACAGACAATGGCTCAGGGACACCAATGGCGTAGGAGACTTGCACAATGACCCGCCTCGCAAGCCCACTGGCTACAATGCTCTTAGCTGCTTGCCTAACGATGTAAGCCCCACTCCTGTCAACCTTGGTTGGGTCCTTTCCGGAGAAAGCACCACCTCCGTGTGCACCCCAACCACCGTAAGTATCGATGATGATCTTACGGCCGGTAAGCCCTGCATCTCCATGAGGACCTCCGATAACAAAACGACCAGATGGGTTGAGATGGAAGATGGTTTTCTCATCAAGGTACTTCTCTGGGATCACTGGCTTGATCACATGCTCCTTAAGATCAGCTGCGATCTCATCATTAGTCACAGTCTCGTCGTGCTGTGTTGAGATGAGAACAGTGTGGACACGTACAGGAACCATGGCTCCGCTTTCGTTGATGTACTCAATAGTGACTTGAGTCTTACCGTCAGGCCTCAACCACGGGCAAGTTCCATTCTTGCGAACTTCAGTGAGTTTAGCTCCAAGCTTAGTAGCGAGAACGTGAGTAAGCGGCATGAGCTCAGGAGTCTCATCAGTAGCATACCCAAACATGTGACCTTGGTCACCAGCTCCAACCTCCTCTGGCTTCTTGGTGAGATGACCATGAACACCTTGTGCAATGTCAGGACTCTGTTGCTCAATGTTAACAAGAACCTTACAATTGTCAGCATCTAGACCAACGTCAGCAGATACGAAACCGATCTCACGGCATGTTTTACGAACAATCTGCTCGTAATCGACATTAGCCTTGGTGGTGATTTCTCCAAAAACCATGACCATGTTAGTCTTGGTACAGGTCTCACAAGCAACTTTGCTCTCAGGGTCTTGTTCAAGACAAGCATCGAGGATAGCGTCGGAGATCTGATCACAAAGCTTGTCTGGATGTCCCTCGTTGACGGATTCAGATGTGAACAAAAAAGATTCCATTTTTCCGATCCGATTCAACAAAAATTACCTAACAAAAAGCAGAGAAATCAACAAGATCAATCAGAAAAAGTATAAACACACATAAGAAACTTGAATAAATTCAAATTGGAATCTAGATTCAATAACCAGATCTATAAATCAACACTTCTTTCAAACACAAATCGACACTTCGTTCAAATTCTACAGAAATGCAGGAATCTTGAGAATGTATATGAACCGACGAAAAGAGAACATACCTTAAAAGGAGATTAGTAATGGAGGTTGAGCTAAAGAAATGTAATGGTAGTAGTACGAAGGTGAAGGAGGAGCGTATAAGCTTTATATATACGAGCTCGTCGAGGGGTGGTGGTGTAAGATCGTAATTTCGTCCAGATTCATTCCCAGTTTCATCTAACTGTGTTCAGACAATGAGATCTAGATATCTGACGGTTCAGATTAGATCTAGAAATGTAATATGGTTTTAAACCGTTGGATTTGCTTCACTGGACCACCGCGTGCGAGTACAACTTGACAGCATCTAATGAATATCACGAATCACGACGATTAGAATAATAGTTATCGGTAATCAAATTAATGCGGCAAATTTACTACTATCTTTAATTACTAGATAAGATATTTTTGAGGAGCATGTAAATCTGAATTGAAAGAATTAATGATAATTAATGTCGTAAATCATGTAGAGGTTGTGTAATTAGAGAAGGGTTTTTGTCGGTGAATGTAATTAGAGATTACACATACACAGGCTGTCTCTTTACTCTTTTATGGAAGGGTCCACTTGCCACCGGTAAAAAGACAACATAGAATTCTTCTTTTGTTTGCTTTTTCATAGTAGAGTGTCGGCTAGCTTAGGTTGTCAAATAAGACTAATGTTGGGTGGTCTAAATCTGATCTTGTCCGATCCGGAAAAGGCAAAACTGCACAGTTACGCCAATCTGTGAAGATCTTGTCCAATGCTAGATTTAGTTATTGGGCTTTTAATGGGCCAAGACCTTACAAATCAATGATATAACACCAAACGATAAAATTTGAAGCCCATGACTATGAGGCAGTTGTTAAGTTGGTACAAAATACACCAAAAAAACCAGAAAATTTGAGGTTAGAAACCACAAAGGAAAACAGAATTGGGAAAAGTATTCGAAGGTCGTATAAACCTAATCAATTAACTACAACTCTATAGAAAAACCCTAATCATCATTACATCGATCCTGAAACAATGACGAAGATGTCCAAGCTTCTTAGGCTTGTAAAGCTCTCTAGACTTCCGGTGACATCTCTGAGAGGAATACGATCTGTTTGCAAAAAGGGAAACACATTATCCAAACATCGGAGATGTACAAGGAAGCGCCTTGCTCAAGCAAAAACAGCAACAAAGAAGAAGGAGTTACCTACAAAAATGACGATGGTGTCCGATCTTCCAAGGGATTTGGCAGAGGATGTGCTTCTTAGGCTTCCGATGACATCTATGAGAGCAGTGCGATCTGTTTGCAAACAGTGGAACTCTTTATCCAAAGATTTCTTCTTTATGAAGAAACACCTTTCTCAAGAAAAAGCTGCAGCAGCAAGGGAGTTTATGGTGGTCATGGTGATGGATTATCGGGTTTATTTGATGGGCATCAATCTCCATAAGGACGTTGAAGAAACTATAAACTGTCAAGGTAAACTTATTAGCCTAGACGATTCCAATCAAGTCGATATATCTACAGTCTATCACTGTGACGGTTTAGTCTTATGCATCCCAAAAGACTGCGCTAGGCTCGTTGTTTGGAATCCATATTGGGGCCAAACCTTGTGGTTCAAGCCCAGTAGTATTCGCCATGAACCGCACTTGTATAGGTATGCTGTTGGATACCAGAATAGCAAATCATGCCGCAGCTACAAAATTTTGAGATTTGTTGAAGTTTGCGCTGAGAGTATTGTTGAGTACGAAATTAACGAGTTAAACTCTAACTCATGGAGGGTTCTTGATGTCACTTCCGACTGGCATATACTGTTTTTTGCACGTGGCGTGACTCTCAAGGGAAATACTTATTGGTTTGCTATAGAGAAGTATCGAGAAGGAAGATCAACGGTGGTAGAGATTCCTGATTTCTTGATATGTTTTGATTTTACAACAGAAAGGTTTGGACCGCGTCTTCGTCTGCCGTTTCGCTCTTATGATGAAGACACTGTGACTCTTTCTAGTGTTAGAGAAGAGCAACTTGCTGTGTTATTTCAGCGTGAGGACAACTTACATTTGGAGATTTGGGTTACGACTAAGATTGAGCCTGAAGTGGTGTCATGGAGCAAGTTGTTTTTAGCAGTGGATATGGAACCACTCACTGATTTTCAATTTGGAGTTACAGGAGGGAGTTTCTTCATTGACGAAGAGAAGAAACTCGCTGTAGTTTTTGATAAAGATAAAGATAGAGACAATGTCGAGGTGCAGACCCCCCGTCACAACTTTGCTTATATCATTGGAGAGGATGGATATTTCAGAGACGTAGATCTCGGAGAAACTTCAGAAGTTTGTGATTGTCCACTTGGGTGCTTATATGTTCCAAGCTCAGTGCAGATCAAGCAAAGAGTCAACAAAAGGAAAGAAAGGAATTTGAAAACTAATTAGTCAGTCCAACGTACATACCTAAAATTTTATGTCTTGTTTGATGATATTTAAACGAATAAAGTTTGTCAAACTTTTATTGAAAAGCAAGAGAAAATGGCAAAAAAAAAAAACACGCATAGGTAAGGTTCTTGCCTTGGTGGCCTCGTACGTCAGTAGCTCCAGTGCAATGCATTGCATATGAGTTAGATTTTCGCAATGTCAAGCCTTATTACGTTTTGATTGATAAATATTGTCAATCGCTAGTGAGACAAAATATGCATATTTGTATTTAATGTTTACGTTTGTATTTTATGAAAAAAAATCTATTAAAAATAATCGCAAACATTGTATGTAAGTTTTGTTTGCGTTTCAAAGATAGACGGTGAGTTGTGAGATTGTACGTACATGGAAATATGGAAGCAAGATGATACATAAGAAAAATTGAACTCTTATATTTGAGCTTTTATATATATAGATGAAAAAAATCTCATAATTACATACAAGCAAGATGATACATAAGAAAAACATGAACTCTAGCTTTGATTGTTTTTTGTTTACTTGTAAAAAAATACAAGTACGAAAGAAAAAAGGAAGTGAAAATTGAGACGCGAAAACTTCAAGGTGGTTGGTTGACTTGTAGACCGACGACCAAACTTATCACAAAGAACACGATCGATCACCTTTGAAAGTCAAAAGATATATACAGTACTCGCTTCACATCTTGACCTCTATATTTTACAACTTTATTTATTCCACAAAAATCATATACTATGCATTAACCTTTTAATTAACATCATCAGCCGTCTATTTTGGTTTTCCTTACATGCTAAAAATACCAATTGTACAAAAAAGATACTTAATAGTTTATTTCGTAAACGCAAAAGAAAAAAAATTGTGATTGTTATTCTTTGACCCACTACAAAATGGACTTATTTGAAAGGTTTTATCAAACACATTTTTCTTGTTGAAATAGTTAGTTACCTATGTATTAGTACGTATTTTTTGTTACGGCAATTCAAAATTTTTATATACGAAATGATCGACCAATCAAATGGCTAATTAATTAGTCGATTAAGACTTTTGAGTTTTGACCTGAAAACACGACGAAGTAAAATAAACTCAAGTTGATAAAAGCGTACTATAAAGAGTAGACAAGTTGCTAACGTGCGCATCAGCGCACCCTATATATCATTTACTGTAAATTTCCGCCGGGAAGAAAAGTCTGCGTTTCTGCACCAACCCTACACGACGAACAAAGAGATAGAAGAAACCTTCTTCTTCTTTCTTCTATCATCGGAGAATTCGACTCTTCTTTATCTTTTGAGATTCTCTAATTCTCTTTTTTGTAAGAGGTAATTTTGCTATCTTCTTCTTACCAACTCGCTTAAATTTCTCTCTTTTTGGGTCTTTCCTTTTATGTCCGTATTTATCGGGAAATTTTGCTCCTAGGGTTCGATTTCATGCCGATTAGATTGTGTTAACGGATTTTTCGGAGTTTATTGATAGTTTTTTCAGTTTGAAATCCATTTTAGGGGTTACGATCGTTGACTTGTGATAGTCTAGGTCACCAAATGTATCGTTTGTTAGTGTCTTGATTTTGATCGAATTATGCTTTTGTAATGAAACTTCATCATCATGTAGAAGAAGGATTTTACTCTTCTGATGCAAAAATTTGTTTTTGTGAAAACGATTTGGTGCTTAAACCCTATAATTAGAAACTTTTCGTCGAGGCTTTTTTTGAGCATTTCTCTATAAGTCCGTATAGTTTGCTCTATTTCATTTGGGAGAAATATTAGCTACTTCTAAATTTTCGTATGTAAAAGTCTTGTTCTGCAACATCATTACTGACGTTTTGTGATATGAATATACTGATATAGTTTCGTGTGAGAGAGAAGCGTAATGAGCTGCTTTGGTTGTTGTGGTGGTGAGGATTTCCGTAGAGTTGCTGAAACTGGACCAAAGCCAGTGCATAACACAGGAGGTAGCTTAGTTTACCCCTGTATTCAACTGCTTTACCCTTATCTGTATGGCCCATTCTTTGGCGGCTAAGTTAATGAACTTTTCTAACTGTTGTTAAGGTTACAATGGAGGTCACCATCAAAGGGCAGATCCACCCAAGAACCCTCCAGTCATTCAGATGCAGCCTATCTCTGTTGCGGCCATTCCAGCTGATGAATTGAGGGATATAACGGATAACTATGGTGGAAAGTCCTTGATTGGTGAGGGTTCATATGGAAGAGTGTTTTACGGTATTCTTAAAAGCGGTAAGGCAGCTGCCATTAAGAAACTGGATTCTAGTAAGCAACCAGATCAAGAATTTCTCGCCCAGGTAGATGCTACAGAGTATATCATTGCAGTCTTGTTTGCTCTTGGTCGGATACCCATCCTAGATCTTATACTTCCTGTGTTCTGATAGTTCTGCACGAAATCACTCTGTTGGGGTTGTTTTGTCGATTTTCTTTGCTTTGTTACTGACATGACGAACTTTAACAGGTATCAATGGTTTCGAGATTGCGACAAGACAATGTTGTTGCGCTTCTGGGCTATTGTGTTGATGGCCCACTCCGTGTTCTTGCTTATGAATATGCTCCTAATGGATCTCTTCATGATATTCTTCATGGTAAGTTACTAATGTAAAACATCGATTCAGTAAGACTTGGACATGTGAAACTCCAATCGAAGGAAGATGCATACCAGTTTCTGAGATCTATGGAGGAGAAACTAATGAACTGTGGTGTATTCACTGGTGCAGGTCGAAAAGGTGTTAAAGGAGCACAGCCAGGTCCTGTTCTGTCATGGCACCAGAGAGTCAAAATTGCTGTTGGTGCGGCTAGAGGACTCGAGTACTTGCATGAGAAGGCAAACCCTCATGTTATCCACAGAGACATCAAATCCAGCAATGTACTTCTGTTCGACGATGATGTTGCGAAGATTGCTGATTTTGATCTGTCCAACCAAGCCCCTGACATGGCTGCACGCCTTCACTCAACCCGTGTGCTCGGAACCTTTGGCTATCACGCTCCAGAGTAAGCCCCTTTAGATATCATTTATCTTGAATAGTGATATATCATTTGTTATCATTATCTAATGTTCTGATGCACTAAGTCCTTCACTTGGCCTCAGCTTTGATAATCATTTTATCATACATTTACACTTTTGTATGTCTGGCATCTCTTCCCATTGACCAAACTAGATTCTTAAACATATTTGCTTCTGCAATTTAGGTATGCAATGACGGGGACGTTGAGCACAAAGAGTGATGTCTATAGTTTTGGCGTTGTTCTGCTGGAGCTCCTCACAGGTCGTAAACCAGTTGATCATACCTTACCGCGTGGACAGCAGAGTCTTGTGACATGGGTAATACATCGTTCTCTGCTTCTTATTCTTTTTGACTCATATTTATAAGAAAATCTTAGAAAATACATGATTTATTCAGTCTATTAGGAATGACCAAAAATACCTCTAGTAACTTGACAATACCCCTTTACATCTAAAGAAATCATTGATTTGGTGTAGTCATTGTTTTGCTAGAAAGAAATTTCCTAAACTAGAATTTATCAAATAAGAAAAAGCAGTGCAAATAAGGTGGGTTTCTGTGAGTGAAGCCTTTCTGAAGCAAACTCTGCTTGCTTGTGAGATAATAGAGACTGAACTTTTCCCTAGAAACAAAAACCAGTACTCAATGATAACGCTTTTGTGTGTCTCAGGCAACCCCTAAACTGAGTGAAGACAAGGTGAAGCAGTGTGTTGACGCAAGACTAAACGGAGAATATCCTCCCAAAGCTGTTGCTAAGGTAATTTCCCCCATAACCTTGTCATACTTCTCACTGATGCAGTAGAAAAGGTTAACCGTAGGATGACTTAGAAATTACGTCTCCATCCGTTGCACCTGCAATCAACTACAAGAGCTAAAACTTGTTCGCCTAGTTGAAAAAAAAAAAAAAAAATTTGATTTGATTCCCTCTTGATGTGTTCCATATGATAGGCCTTCATTGAAATACAAAATGTATTTTTCAGACACTAGAACCTAAGTAACGAAACCTTAAACCTGGATATGATTTTTGGAGTCTAATTTTGGTTTTCTCTTGTGTGACTCGTTGTGATCAGCTGGCTGCTGTAGCTGCGCTGTGTGTGCAATATGAGGCAGACTTCAGGCCAAACATGAGCATAGTGGTGAAGGCTCTTCAGCCATTGCTCAATCCTCCTCGCTCTGCTCCCCAGACTCCGCACAGGAACCCGTATTGATATGCTCCAGTTTGATGTTCACCCTTTATGATCATCACTATTTCATTTGTTTTTGTTTGAATCCGATTTGTGTAAATTTGTGAAATAGGCTTTTATTTCTCTCATAAAATCCTGCCACTTCACCGAAAATCTTACTTGGAAAGACCTGAATGTTACTCTGTTTTTATATTATTTCATGTCTGCGATGTAAGTTTCTACTAATTCTACGATATGCGAGGTAAAGATATACCAAAACTCTTTTCATGCGTCTGCCTATACAACTTTTTCTTTCTTTTTTGAGACGTTTTACTAACCTTGATGTAAACTTAGTTCATTTCTATGGGGGTTTTGAAGAAGATATTTTTGATAAAGATGATCAGAGTAAATGACCAATTGTTTACATTGATTCCAACTTTTATAAAACCAAAATGTTCACTCTAAATTCTACTCCTTATACAAGGCCCACTCTATTTGATGGCTATTCGATCTTGAATGCATCTTATCACTAAAGGACTTGTTGGGAAAAAAACTTTAATGATCCAAATAAAATTCATTTTGTAAATATATGTCTGTAACTGACTCGGTATGAAGGTAATAAAAAAGACAGTGCAACAAAGCTATACAAAAGCTCTCTCCTCCTCCAGACAAAAGAAACAAATCGTGTTCTTCTCTGTATCTATATATATCACATAATTAACTTATAGACACAGTAAAGAATCTAAACAATCTCCAAAGAATCTAAAAGTCATAAAGAAAGAAGGGTCCATGTTTCTGTTCCTTGCTCAAATCTTTGCATCTGTTATTATATCATTATCTTTATTCGTGTCTGTGCTTTCTCTATGCGTTTCTGCGTTCTGATTTCTCCTTCGTCTTCGTTCCTGATTAAAACATTCACCAAACCAATTATGAACACTCTAGTTTCCACACAAGAAAACCAGTCTTTCTACATTGTTTGTCATTATGATTACCTCTCTAGGCATCACAGGGTATTCATCTGATTCAAGCATTCGAGCTACTTGACTCATTTTTGGCCTCTTGTCTGCATCAGGATCAACACACCTCAAAGCTGTCAAAAGCGCTCTTTTAAGTTCGCTAGTTGATGGTTTGATCTCAAGCTCTTTATCCACCACTTCCTCAAACTGTTTCTGTTGAACCATCAGCTTTAACCACTCCACCATATGCACCTAAAAACACATTTCAAGAATCAAGATCAACCCCTGATTTCAGAATGTTACACAATCTAGAGAAAAGATGAATGCATTGTATACCTCTTCTTTAGGCCGCGCATAATCCACTGGATACCTTCCAGTAATAGCTTCCAAGAGAACAACACCATAGCTGTACACGTCGCTCTTTTCGTTGAGGAGACCAGAGTTAGCATATTCAGGCGCGACATACCTGAACATTCATCAGTTGAACAGAGAAAAATGTCTCATTAACCAATGCAGATTATGAAAAAGTAAAGTTATAGCTACAGCCTTCAGTTCATTACTCACCCGAATGTACCCATAACTCGAGTACTGACGTAACTTGAATCAGCTCCAAGCAATTTAGCAAGACCGAAATCAGATAACTTTGCGTCAAATTTGTCATCCATCAGTATATTGCTCGATTTTATGTCTCTGTGCACCACTTTCGGCTCAATAGCTTCGTGAAGATAAGCCAGCCTGTGTAGAAAAAATGCAATCCACACTTTCTCATGAGCTTACATTACCAGAAAACAAGTAACAAGAATCATCAAGTGGTTTAAAGGGCCTTACGCTTTTGCAGTGCCAACAAGAACTTTGATCCGAGCCTCCCACGTGAGGTGCCCTTTGTGATTCATGTCTCCATGAAGCCATTGCTCTAAGTTCCCATTGTTCATGTACTCATAAACCAGCATCCTATGTGTTCCTTCAACGCAATATCCAAGAAGCCGAACTAAGTTCTTATGCCGCACATGTCCTATAGCTTCCACCTCAACTCTGAAATCTTTATCAGCTTGCCCTCTAAATGTAACAAAAACATTTCACCTCAGAGATGAGCATTGAATAGATAAAGAGAGGTGTTATAAGAATCTTACGGATTGTTGAGCAACTTTTTGACAGCCACAGGGGTTTTGTTAGTCAAAGTTCCGTGGTAAACAACTCCGTATCCACCATCACCGATGATATTCTCCTTGGAGAAATGATTAGTTGCAAGTTGAAGGTCACGGAGAGTGAACCAATGGCCCCAACCAATGTGAGAAACCTCAGGAAGACCCAAGAGAGGTGAAGGAGCTGTTGTTGTAGGAGTACTAGGAGGCAAATGTGACCCAACCGCGGGTTTTTTCTCCAAAGAACCAGAGAACTTATCACCATTCTCGATGTCCTCAACGAATTTCTCATCTAGAGTTTGGTAAGAAGTACCATTGTTGTTAGATGAAACATGATCAACACTTATTTCTTTGATGTCTTCAGTAAAGCGAGGGCTTTGCGTTACAGGAAGCGTTGTGGCATTAGATCTTTTGGACTTTTTACGGAAGCTGAGCCATACTGAAATGACAAGGATTACTATGAACGCTGCAAATAGAGCAATCACTATGATCTCCCACAGTTCAAGAACACCGTATCTCTTGGTTAGAGTTCGTTTCAGCTGAGATGCCATATTTCACAGAGACTTTGTATATATGTACCTGTAGAATTTGAAATGGTTTATCAATCAAATCCAAACTGAATTGTTCACGGAACAATAAATCCAAACTAGAACCTTACTGGTCAGGGGAAAAGTAAGAAACAGAAGCTAATGGTGAAGCTATAGTCAATTCTCAGATCTTTCTCTAAAAATATTGGACAAATGTAATCAAATGAAGAATTCCAACAAGGGGCTAATCATAATCTAAAAACACTAGCTTTATCACAAAAGGAGCTAAACGCAACAGAACCAAACAGAGCAAAGTAAAAAAGCAGAGTATATAAGAAATTCAATCTCATCCTAAGAAATCAAGAACATCTAAATCTGATACCAATGAGTTGAGATAAACAAATGGTTTGGGCTGTAAAAAAATTTAAAATTTTACAAGTTCCATAATCATATAACCTTCTGAATCATCCAAAACTTGGAATTTAAAACTCCAGAAACAGATCCCGTGAGCTATATAGAGCATTTACTATTTACTGTAAGAAGCTAAAAAGTCTGAAACACAGAAAAAGTAAGAAACTTTTTAGCTTCCAACGCAAACCCACAAACAAAGATCGAACCTTTGAAACTACAGAAACTCAAAAGAAAAAGATCAGTTCGATTCTGATTAACGCAATACCTTCTTTGTGAACAAATTTCCTCTATGTTTTTCTTTCTATGTCCGGGTGGGAGATGGAGACTAGAGCTCGGGTTAATAAAGGAAACCCACAAAACATAGAGAAAACGAAACAAGAAAAAAAAATAAAAAAATCAGTGAGATTATATATCCATTTTCAGAAATCTTGAGAGAGAGATATTTGTTGGGTTTCCATAGGTGAGAGGAAAAAGAGGGGGGAAATAGAGAAAGAAGTTTGAAGCTTTCTTTGATGTTTCTTCTTCTGGAATATTTTTATGCTTTGTGGGCTGTGTTTGCTTTTTTCAATATATTTTCGTCTTTTTCTCGTTTTATTAGTCTTTTTTCTAAATAAAAATCATATTTTAAAAAATTCATTAATTTGATCCCAAAAAAAACAAAAGATTTCATTAATCATTTTTCGGCGTTAAATTATTCATTTAATGTTTCTTTCTTTCTTATTAACAAAACTTTATTTGTAAAATGTTACTATGGAGATTTCTCTTTTCTTTTTTCTTTTTTGGTAAAGTGGGTTTCACTATTAACTCTTTATCAGACATAGTTTTGCTAGTTTCCAAAAAGTAAGCTCGCTAATTATTACATTCGATTTCATTTTAGAGAAAACCAAATTCCTTAGGTAATTAGTTGAAATTTCAATACTCCTTCAAGAACTTTTACGTTGCCTTCAACAAAAAGAAAGATCGCATATGAATGTACACTTTAGTTGTTGAGAAAAAAATACACACACACAAGGAAAAAAATAAGGATATGATGATAGGAAGATGACGAAGCTATAGACCGTGATTGGCGACGACAATTTTCAAAGAAAGTGTTTACACTGTTTATTAAAATAAGTCTTTTAATATGTGTTACTAATCAATATGACAATTTGGTCAACATTATTAAATTAGACGTTGCACCTAACTCTTTAAGGTAATAAATTTGTTCATTATATTATAACCAGCTTTACGTTTATTCTTCTCCACTACGCTTTTTTTATTTGTTAAGTAAGTACATTTGTTTTTGAAGGATTAAACAAAAGGAAACGAGCGGCTGCTAAATCAGAATCGTGGATTTTGATTCTTTGAATTCGTTAGAAAATAACAAAAGAATAAGACATATATAATTTATAAAAAAAACAAGAGTTCAAATATTAGAAGATGCGTGGGTCCATGTTCTTGTGAATATCGTGTAGAAAACAATGTATTAATCGTATAGGTAACATAATGTAATTAATTGAATTTAATTGGCATGCAACTGAAAGTAAAATAATCAAAAAAAAAAAAATGGCATGCAAATTGCAAAATACTATGCTAACTTAATTTCATATAAATGCACGTCGTCTCCACACTCCAGTTAGTTCAACGTATCTGATTAACTCGCACTATTAAGAGATGTTTCGAAAATACTTACTTTGACGACGTGTAAGAAACAAACGTATTATTAGCCTTGGAAAAATTGTTTCGTGTACTTATGAGTCACTAATTAATCATATCAACTTATCTAGTAGAAGACCAAGAAAATATTATCGTATAACTTACTCAAAATTTAATGTGAAATGACGTGTAATGCATATAGTATATATATGTTCTCGTACTTAATATATACTTCTTTAATCTTAGTTAGAAGTTGTTGACAAAACACAAAAGAAAAAATAGTTACAAGTTATACATTTAACAAGAGAATGTGAGGACTTCATCTAGAATGCCAACTAATTTTTTAAAATATTCTTTGTTCCAACATTTATGTAATCAACTAATATACAAGTTTGTGCTAGCTAGTTCTTATTTATACAGTTAACATTTATGTAATCAACGAAGTTAGGTGATGTCAAATCATCAGAACTTTATGAAAATAAACTGTATATTGACCTTGAGCTTAAAAACATCAACACATCAAGAAGACAAAGACGACTCTTCCGCAATTTAATGACGTCGTTGCTGCAATGAATCTTCACAGATTTCTCTCCAAAAAATTCGAAACCTTGTTTTTATTTTATTTTTGTCAAGATTTTCAAATGGATTAAGTTCTAACCATCATATAAAAACCTGAAAATTCATATTAATGATATTTACAGCTTAGGAAAAAAAAATTGTATTAGTATAGGGTATATACATGTGAATATCTAAGACTCTTAACCCTTATACTTAAGATTAAAATCAAAGACATATTCGAGAAGAAAAAAATGAAGATAAAATAAAATAAAATAAAGCAGTAATAATGTTGCCTTTGCGTGTGCTTGACAAAAGTCAACCTGAGAATGCCTTTGTCTTGCTGCGTGGAATACAAGAGACATTTCATCATCATCATTTTACAGCTCGACAAATGATTCTCTTTCTCTTTTTTTTTTTTTTTTTTTTAAAACCATTACTTTGTTTCATTCGCATGATTTTTTACGTCTCCTTCAAACGTTTAGTATGCTAAATTGTTTACAAATAAATAACTAAAGTATAACATAACTACTAAAACATAAATTGTAAATACTTTGACTTTCTTAATCTTTTACCTATGTATGATGCATTGGTTGATTTAATACAAAGTTTATAGTTCATGTAGTAATAGGTATATATAAAATCACGAGTGTTATATATATTGTATGAAACCCGATTAAAAATAATTTACCCAAACATAACGATCTCTAAAGTAATATAAAAAAACATAAACAAATGCATGCATTATGTGATTTTAAATTTAAAAAACTATAAATCTGCATATCAGATACACCTAATTAATAGTACATGTAACCTATACACGACGGCAGATGATATTTCTAATAATTGTATATATACTTTTAAAAATAACAATAAGCTGATTGGTTATAGAAGTAGAACAATAATTTAGACCACGCGTAAGAAACAATTGCATGATTAGTCCGCCTCCAAAAGCTAGCCAACAATGGGGTTTTAGTTAGTTGGTGTTATTGATATTTTATTTGATTTATATATTAGTTCTTTCTTTTCTTTCATTTTCTCTTAAACTTTTTGTTTTATTATCTGGTTTATATGCGGTTTTTTTTTGTTTCTCTTTGTTGCTGTCTTATTATTTTGTTATTGTCTTGCAGTTGTTGGGTTTACATCAACCTGTCCTACTAGCAAATAAGATAGTCCAAAAATTAATGTATTAGGGTCTTAACAACAATGATTTATAATTTTTTAGAAAATAATAACAAGGATTCAGTGATTGTTTAAGCTCTCTTTTTGTCTCTTAAGTATAACACATGCATGCATCCAAATCATAACAAAATATTGTCGGAAGTTTGTTCGAGAAAAATACCACAAGTTGCATAAAATAGATAGTGCTGCCATTGTGGATAGAATTTGAGCTTCTTAAGAGAATTGTCACTTTTAAAAAAGTAGAGCTACAATTCAAATAGATAAACTGCCCAAATCACAAAAATCCATACTAAACTATCCATGTCTCATTTCTTGTTTTTATTCTTTTTCAAGTGACCATTTTCCAAAGAAGTTCATATAGTTTATTGCCTTTGTTGGCTTAATGTATAGTCAATTTCAATGACCTTCTATGCTTTACTTTGGTAAGTTTCAGTTTGGACATAGTAGTATCAAAACTTCATTGTCACATTTTCTTAAAGTCTCTTACTCTCTGACTATTACCGTTAGTAATTGAAAATATGAACTGGTAACGGAGTCATGGTGCTTTGGACTTTGTAACCATAATAAGAGAGCAAGAGAATTGGATAAAAAGGTCTTCCTTCGTTAAGCTTAGAATAGAACACAAATATGCTCGAATACAACAATGTATAAATCAAAACAACCAAACTTAAAGCATAAAAATCAATCATCACTGAACATTAGTAGTTATTCATGCATGTCTAATAGTGAAGGAGAGTATTATTAGAGTGTAATACACAATTTCTGAATATCAATAATTTGATTTATATGTAATTTGTTTATTGCAGATATGAGTTGAGAACAAATCAACAATATGTGATTGCCGACACAAATTAGTTAGTAATACCAATTAATAAGAAAAAGGTAGAATACGACCTCCAATTATAAAATTAGTTAGTATATCACATTCACTTGGTTATTCTTAATTAAATACAATAAATCTCTCAAATCCTCACGTTTAAAAACACAATATTATATTCAAGATTTAGACCTTAAATCTAGATTATACAAAACATAACCATATCGATAATTACACACACTCACATCATTATCGCATATTGCAGATTTTTCTCTCTTCGAAATTATCTTGATCATAAACAGGCCTAAAACAAAGTCTCTTGACCCAGCAGAAGTTGTTATAAAGGCCCATCAAGCCCAATCTTTCTAACTTTCTTCGCAGATCTTCTCCACATAACAAGAGATGGAACCGTAGCCGTAGATTCAGAGTCTGCTGATTAACCTATTAATCTCCACCGTCCCTTTAATTTAATTATGTTTGGTTCAATTTATGTTTTAAATCTGGAGAAAATATAATTAAGTTAAAGTTTCCAATCTCCTTCTCCTCCAACTAAAACTACTGTAGCTAGCTATCTCCAGTTCTACGTTCTTTCTATTAATAAAAATCTTCTTCTTCTTCTCTGTTTCGTTGATTCCAATAGAAGCTCTCACGAATTCGTCGTCGTATCATCAGATTCTGCTTGAGTTCCTGATTTTGTTTAATCAGATAGTGTTGTTCGTCTTGATCTATCGCTACTAGATTTGTTGTGCGTTTGTTTTCTTTGCTGATAATTTACAGTTTCTCGGCTTATGATCTCGAGGTAGTAATGTCTATTCCTCTCTCCGTTATTATTCGATTGTTTAACTCGTTGCCTCTCGGATCTGATCCAATTCGCATTTTTTCTCTGATCGTGATCTCTAGATTTTATCCTGCTCACGTTGGTCGTAGGTTTTGATTGGGGCAAATTTTGTTGTTGTGAATCCAATTTCTCAGTTAAATCTACATTGGCTGAAAAAAGTTTTGCTTTTTTTTTTGGGTTTCAGGTAATGGCCATAGAGCCTTTGCACCTGGTTTTTATACTGCTGTGTTTCAGTATTGGTGCAGTGACAAGAAATTGATTGTCAAAGGAAGATTATTTGCTTTTTCTCTGAAGAGAGGAGACGAGAAAAATGGCAAAGATGATAAACAAGACGCTTGTATTAACTTATATCTACTTGCTGATCTACATTATACTTTCTTCTGGAGTTATACTGTACAATAAGGTGATCTTTAGAGGCCATTTCATACTTTATTAACGTATCTAATTGTTAAGCAGAATTGTGTAGTTTGCATGCTCCAGGTTGTTTCTCCGATATAAGAATTTGATGTTTGAATTATATGTAGTGTATCTGAGATGAAACCATAGCCAAACCCTTTTTGTGGCGATGTGTGTCCAATAGTAGTTTTTCCTATTCCCTGTGTCTACCTAGGGATGATAGTATTGTGATTGTAACGTCAGATGTTAGATATGCAAGGGCTAACTACGACTGTATCTTGTTTCAACTTTTGTTAAAGTAGATTCAGACTTCTAAATTGTGTCCCTTTTATTGCTTTTGATTGCAGTGGGTTTTATCCCCAAAATACTTCAATTTCCCACTTCCTATAACGCTGACAATGATCCATATGGGGTTTGCTGGATTCGTGGCTTTCCTTCTTATTCGCGTCTTCAAGGTATCCTAAACTCAAAGATTATGGAGTATGCTCATGCACATCTATGTGGAGCTCTCTTTTATAATATTATCTTCTTTGTGGATCCTTAGGCTCCTTATGCTAGTGCGGTGATAAGTTTTTCCTCTGTTTTGTAGGTTGTTGCTCCGGTTAAAATGACATTTGAAATGTAAGCCAGTTTACTCGATATTTTTCATCAATTTTTGTTTGTTCTCTTGTATGTAAGCTCCACCGTTTCTCCATTTTGACACTCTTTTTGGGTCCAGATACGCAACCTGTGTGGTACCTATAAGCGCATTCTTTGCATCAAGTCTCTGGTAAGTTCCTGTTCTATAGACAGTAAACACAATTTATTGATGCGCTTCTTAATTACTGGCCATCAGGCTCAGGACAACTCAGTCTTTTCTAGTTGTCCTTGCTTCCCAAACTGTCTCTTCACTATTTTTTATTCTCCTTTGTGCAGGTTTGGCAATACTGCATATTTGCACATTTCTGTTGCCTTCATTCAGATGCTGAAAGCTCTAAGTATGTGAAGATTTAACATTTTCGTTACAGAATCTGTTTTAGTTTATCTATTCATTTACAAAGCATATTAATATGTGACTATGGACTTTCAGTGCCAGTAGCGACATTCATCATGGCAGTTGTGTGTGGCACTGACAAACCAAGGTGCGACGTGTTCTCGAACATGTTGCTGGTCAGTGTTGGAGTTGTGATATCCTCTTATGGGGAAATTCATTTCAATATAGTTGGCACAGTCTATCAGGTGACAGGCATCTTTGCTGAAGCACTTAGACTGGTGCTAACTCAAGTTCTTCTCCAGAAGAAGGGTTTGACATTGAATCCTATTACCAGCTTGTACTACATAGCTCCTTGCAGGTATTGACTTAAACCTTTGGTTCCAATTCGTCTAACGGTCTAAGTATATTACGTTACATTATTTTCTCTTATTATTATATATCGCTAGAAGGAAAGTTCTATCTCCTCTACTGCACATTAATACACATAATCTTTTCCTTGACACACTATGACTTCATTTTTTTGCAGTTTTGTTTTTCTGGCCTTGCCTTGGTATGTGTTAGAGAAACCCACAATGGAAGTTTCACAGATCCAATTCAACTTCTGGATATTTTTCTCCAATGCGCTATGTGCTCTTGCCTTGAACTTCTCCATATTCTTAGTAATCGGGAGAACAGGTGCAGTAACCATCCGGGTGGCTGGTGTTCTCAAAGACTGGATTCTTATAGCCCTCTCAACCGTCATTTTCCCCGAGTCCACAATCACTGGGTTGAATATCACTGGATACGCAATAGGTAGATTTCTTCATGTGACAACAAATGTGATTGCTATAAACATATGATTTTCTTTCTGGACTTGTTTTTGCCCACATAACTATTTAATCTTGTCATGTGTTTGACACAGCGCTATGTGGTGTCGTCATGTACAATTACATAAAAGTAAGGGATGTGAAGGCGTCTCAACCAACTGCTGACAGTCTTCCAGATCGAATAAATAAGGTCAGTCAGTCAAACATTATCGATCTCTAAGCTCTAGCAGATCTCAGGCTTGTTTCAGATTCCCAGAAATCCATTAACATGCCATATATAAGCTCTTAAAACCTGATAGCCTCCCATATTAACCGATATGGATTCATAGTCATATTATCGTCCTTTCAAAAAAGAACCACTAGACTTGCAAATTATAGTGTAGAACCAATTACCTTTTTATTCCTTCTAATGTAACAACTGATGACACAAGCATTACACAGGAGTATAAGATGGAGAAGAAGTCTTCGGATAAATTCAATCCTAATGACAGTGTGGAGATTCCAAGAGTAGGAGGCGAGGTAAACGACGAGGAAGCCCCTTTGATCACATCCCGGTTGTCTCATATTGGTCGGACGCAGCTCGGAAATCATGCGGCTTAAGATGCTGGTATAAACGTATAATAGACATTTTGCTTCCCAATTCGTTATTTTGTTACTTAGAAAAAAAAAATCTTTGAAACCAAAAAAAGAAATTGCAGCACCATCAGGTGAAAAATGTGTCTCCCTTCAAAATTCCAAATTTATTATGAGATAGAATAGCGGAGATTATTACCAATGATTAGCTTAAAACGTAAAAGTCTCAAATTCGTTTGTAGTGAATTGACGTTTAAGTTATAATATTTGTTGTTTTATGTCTTCCACCATCAACAGACTCTGGATTCAATTTTCTGACTTCTGAGCAGCATCTCTTATATTAATGTCTGCAAAGGTAAAATTCTTATTCTCTAGTAATAGAAAGGTGAAACAAGACGAGTATATAAAGGAATGGAGGTTACAATAGTTTCATAAACACTCAATGTCAGAAATGTATTAGTACTCTTCATCACGTTCTTCGTTTTTACCAAGTTACAGAAATGGAAATTCCAGCTGTGTCCTGAAACTTTCTACAGTATGACGAAGAAAAGAATCTAATGAGAACGTGAGAGAGAGTATATAACATGGTCTGAATTTTATACAAAAGAAGTGATAAGTTGCTACAAAAAAAGGAAATAGACAAAAGCTGAAAATTTACACACCCTCCAATCAAAACCCAGATTCAAACGAATGGGTTAAAACAGCAAAAGAACATAAACATCTCCAAGACTCTGCAACTATCAAAGCACACAATGCCAACAAGCCCAAACCCTCTCTCTCATCCATGAAATGGAGTGTTAACAAATTAAAAGGAAAGAAGATAAAATATCGAACCTCAAGATGCAATTTCCTCATTCCTCGTGAATAAATATACAATTAGAGATTTATATCCTCACATGTAGTCTTGATTCCTCAGGTACAATAGTTTCCTCGATTGCGCTGGAGGAGCTAATCCTGGGATGTCCCTAATGTCTTTGTTATTCGGATTCACAATCTGAAGAGTTTATACAAAAACCAGAGTTACTAACTTTGCTAATGACCAATCACAACTTTCATCAGAAAGAGCAAAGACAGTACCTTCACTATGATAATGGCTACTACACCACATACAATGAGAAACAGGAACCCCATTATGCATTTATCGGTAGCCACCTGAAATAAGTAGACATGAGGATTCAGGTTTTGAGGTCAAACAAATGAGAAATCTATGTCCATATGAGGTTACACACCTGTCTCCCTATCTCTTTCACCAGCTGAGAGGCCTTCTTAATTGAGAATTGAATAGTGTCCAAGTGGTTAACAACGCGTCCCATTTGATCCGTCTGCATAATTTTCAAGTTGTTTAAGACTGTACCATAAGATTATTATGGAAGCGAAGGAGAATGCTTTGCATTACCTGTCCCTTTAAATTAGCTGCAGTTTGAGTTCCAACTTCGAGTGTTTGTTCTACAACCTGAAAGGAGCAAGAATGTTATCATAGATATAGTAACAAAGGCTAAGGGGAACAAACTTCCTTCTGAAACTTACCTGTTTTGAGCGCTCAATGGCCTGATCAGTCTCATCCATTCTTTTCATTCCAGCATCAACAAGCTCCTGGTTTGACATGGCTATACATAATAAAATGACATAAGCCTTCCCCAGTTTTTACATTTCCAAAATAATCTACTTCGCACCAAATCCAAATTATTGGAATCATACATTTCTAGCAATTTGGATATCATCTAGGCCACCGATAACATTTCTAGTACCATATAACCATCTGCCAGAGATTTACTGACAGACATCATAAATGATGCCAGACGAATAACCAGAGAGAATTAGTTACCAATCTAACATATTCAAGTACATATAGCATTAAAAAGTCTAAGCTTCAAGCATGTCAATTTCTTGATGTTCTAAGCAAACTCATATTTTGGTGGCAACTGAATAGACAAGCATGCATAAGGACTCACATGAAGCCACTTGAACATTTTCCTCAGCTGTAGGTTCGCCACTAACTCCGGCTCCCATATCAAAAAGTTCAACTTTCTTGTTTCCAAGGGTACTCATATACCTGAGATTCAAGACCAAGTTAACATGTATAAACACATAAAAGCCAAACGAAATCCTATAGACATATGCTGAATGGATCGATATGAAATGAAAACCCCAAAAAGACAGGTTGAGATTCAAATAATCAACTTCTTAAAGAGGAATGATAGAAATACTAACGTTTTTCTTAGTGCAACGTAAGAATTGAGCTCCTTGATCTGTAACATTATACAGAAGGAAAGAGTTAAACGCAGATGTTAAAAAATCCGTCCAAACAAAACGGTAGCAGATACAAAGTACAGAGGGGAGCGATAGATACATAATGACACTCGATATCTGCCTTAATATATCCATTTGGTCACAAATACACCAAAAGATTGACCAAACTGAATACGATTGATGCTACTTAATGGAACTTCAAGAGGGTGCTAGTAAGAGTTAATATTCATACACTTACTTCGGATACATAACATTGGAGTATAATTAAAGAAAGGCCTCGATGAATTTAATCAACACACTGATGATAGAAGATAATAACTCACCATAGATTGTTTCTCATCGTTCAATTGCTTATTTACTTCAGGAGAATTTCTACCTTCCTCATCCTTCAGTTCTCGGTCGAACTCCTTGACCAACCTGACATGAAGTACACATTGATTAGATAAGCAAATACAGATTATTGAACCATGGATTCGTCACATTAATATTCTTTCCTTCACATTATCCATCCCATTATACATTCTACTAAAGGAAATTAGCAAGAATGCTTCCGAGATTTACAAACATGAAAAAATGATGTTGTAACGCCGAGAACATAATGGTAAAGCATATAGACCTTTTACATTCTCTCATCTTCTCAGTAAGTTCTTCAAGTTGTTTGCTTTGTCTAGTTGTATCCTTGATCTTATCCAACCTCTGGAAACCATTCCTGCAAAACAGATAATGGTGAATCTCTCATTGCATTAAAAGAACTATATTTTGGGTTAAAACCACTTCTTGTCATCAGCATTCAGCAAAACACAAAAACCCCACTAAATGAGATTCAGTGATACTCAATCTCATAAGATACTTAACATTTCCAAATACCCTAAAATATATCAGAGGGTTTCGTAACCACGACAGAGAATGAGAAAAATCGAACAAGACGAAAACAAAGATAGAAAAAGCATACGCGAGGGCTCGGAAATGGTCACGGATTTCGCCATGGATCTGCTCTAATTGAGGGCTCATAGGAAGATTTGAAGCCATGTCGCCGGAGAAAATTCAGATTCCGACGGAAATTAAACCGGAATTACTCCCTCAGCCGGTGAACCCTAAAGAGTAAAAAAAAACACAGAAATCCTCTCACTGCATCTAAATTTCCCACAAATAAATAAAAACCCTAATTTGACAAAAACTGAAGTTTAAATTTCCAAAAAGAGAAACACAAAAAAATAAGATAAAATCTGGGTAAAGAGGACTTTAGAGAGAATGAATGAAAGAAGAAACAGAGGGCGTCGAAGAACCGGAAAAAAAAGGAAAGAGAAGCTGTCAGGTGTATTGTTTTTCTTTTTTTCATTTTTATTTTTCATTTTGACTAATAAAATAAATCAAAAAGACAGATATTCGTTAGTTAAATAAATAACAAAAAACTTGCTTATGACAGCGCGGCGCCAACTTTTTTGGTCCCATATATATCCGTTGTTCAGTTAATGGATAGAAAAATTATTTCACTTTCACTAATTCACCTACTAATCATACTTTAATTTTTATCTTCTAGCCAACAAAATTCATCATATTTTCGAATGTATATATTTAAGGATACAATCCTAGAGTTCAAAAATACATTGAGTGTTCGTTGCTTCGTTAGAATCGTAGCACTAAAGTGACACTAATCATCGTCGCTAAGATCTTCATCGTACAGATCAAGATTGTCTTCACCTTCACCGTCAACGTTACCAGATTCCATGTTATAACAATTCTCCTCCTCTTCCTCATCGTCTTCATGGTCTTCGTTCTCTGCTCTCTCTTCCCCTTGCAAAGTCTCCTCCTTCACAAAGACACAACAACTACATTTATCATCCTATTATATAAAATCAGCGGAATGGTGTTTAGCGTTTGGTATTTTAAGTAAGTACCTCGTCCTTCTCAGATGCCACGAGCCATTCCGGGAGCAACTGATCCAGCAATGCGTAGTTAAGAGTCGGTGGTGGTCCATCGTCATGTTGTAGCCGTCGCTTCAGCTGTTTCTCTCTGAGCCGTAAGTTGTAATGAACATAAGTTAGATCTTTCATTGATTTCTTCCCAAACCGGCTCTGGCATTGACTGTTAACTTGGTCATACACGCTCCACTTAGGCTCGCACCCAACAGACGAGCACGTGTGGCTCAGTATCCGAACCGCCACTCGCTGAAGTTCCAAACAGCTTATCCCATGCTGTTGCCACCACGCGGCTGGATCAAGCTCTGTTCTTGTGCCAATGGCTATATCCGTTCCAAAATCAGCTTTTGCAGAAGTATACTCCGGAATCTGAAACATGTCAACAAAAAGTTGGTTTAACCTCAGGTTCTGAGAACAATGTGTGAAATGTTGATTTATTTTCGTCTCACCTGCATCAATGCTGTGATTCTACGCGTATTATCAGGCTCAAGCCTAACAATGCATTCGTTAACTCCACGAACAACCTCAGACTGCTGCAGATTCATTCACATTAACAGCAAAAGTAAGGAAATCGCAGAAAGTTTTAGTGATTGATTCAAATTAGTGATAATCATACCTACCGCCATAAAATCAGGACGATATTTATATGCTGGGTTGAAGAAATATGCAGCCACATAGAGAGGATGATGAAACAATGGGTTCCAACGGTATTCTATCACACGCCAGAACGGCCCGTATTTCCTTGCATCATCGCCATTAATAGACTTGATCGCCATTTTCGCACAGCACATGTAACCGTAAGCATATGGCAAAGATAGTCTATCGCCACCATCATTGATCATGTGAATCACCTGCATCACCGGATCAACCGATTTCAAAACATACTGAACCTTCTTCCAAAACGCAGCACTTGACACCATCTTCTCCACTTCTCTTCCCTCTTCAGACTTGGCGGCGGTCTGTGACAAAATCCAGCCATCAGATTGGAACAGACCTCTGAGACTGGCCTTGTGGTCCATAAGACTTTGAAGAGTGGTGAAACCGGAAGCGTGGCGCATGACTGCTGGTCTAAGAAGATCTAGTCCCTGAGTGAATTCGTTCTTCATGAGATTAAGCAGCCATGTTTGATTGTAAATGAATCTTGTGATTCTTTGGGCTTTCTCTAAGCACTCGGAGACAAATTCAAGCTTTGAGATGTCTTCAAGAACCAGTTCTGTGCAATGCATTGCGCAAGGAGTCCAATACATATTCTTTCTCTTTTCTTCAAGTAATTTTCCAGCACTTCTACAGACAGCAGTGTTCTGTGTAATAACCTGCACCACATTTTCCTCGCCAATGTCGTCAACTAGTTTGTCTAGACATTTGAAAAGGCTTAAAGCATCTTCTATTATATCAGTGGCATCAATCGAAGAGTGGAAGAAGACACCACGAGGGCACGAGACCAAAAAACTGATCATTCTCTTGCCCTCTGTGTTGGTCCAAGTATCTGCCATTATAGAACAACCTGTAACCAGCCAAGAAGACCTGTATTCCCTCAAGTAGCTTTTGATTGTTGAAATTTCATCCTGCAAGAGCCTACCAGAAAACAGATGACTCGAGGGCACAACGAAACCCTCTCCGTACATACCAATCAATTCAATCATCTTTTGAAAGTACAGAGAATTTGCTGCTTCTGTGGGAACTCCTACATGGTGGAAGAATTTGGAAATGGAGGATGTGACATCTTTTCGTGATACAACTCTGTTTGAACAGCTAGAGTATAGTTTTCTCTGCTTGCTAGAAGAAGGTGACTGAAACGGAATCATCCTCGCTCTTTTTGGTTTTGCTTCGGAGACAGATCTCATGTTCATTGAATCTAGGCTTTTTCTTTTGTCTTTGCTAAACCTTCCATTTCCCAGCATCAACCTATCTTGGCTGATTGGGTAGAAGTCATGATCTGCTCCGTCTTCTTCTTGCTCAGGATCCTGAGAGACCGTTCTGAAAGTTAAAGCTCCCATTTCATCATCAGGTCTATTCTGCCTCTTCCCAGCTCGATGCCATTTCATATTCTCTTTGATCTTAACATAAACATCCTCAGGAGCATTTTTACACGGCGCTACCTCTCCAGGTATTCTCGCCAGGTGCTGTTTAAAACGGTTAATACCGCCACTCACAATCTTGTTACAGTAATTACATTTCACTTTCTTTTTCCTCTCGTCCTGAGCAACACCATGTTCCCATCCAGGATCAATATAACCTGAAGACCGAAGAAGACTCCCATCACTCAAGCCTAGCTTTCCCTTACTTCTTCTAGACCAGCAACGCCGCTCTTCCTCCTCCGCTTCATCGTCATTGTTAGATTGATGGAAACTGGAACAAGACTGTCCACTATTATCCTCAGACTGCCTCAGCTTTCTGGTGGAACGCACCAGATTCTCCTTCATCCTCATACATACATCCTCCGGAGACTTATCACAATAAGTGACTTCTCCTGAAACTCGAGCCAAGTGTTGCTTCAATCTGTATATTCCTCCACTAACAATCTTTCCACAGTAATTGCATTTAACCTTCTTCTTCCGCTCGTCTTGTGCAACACCGTGCTCCCATCCAGGGTCAACCACTCCAACCGATCCAGGTGGAGCCATTGTTAAACCATTAACAAGCTTCAAACTTTAACAGTTCCACAAACCAATGCAGACTCAATCTACAAGAGAGATTTCATTAAAACAAAAACAAGAACATCTTTAAAACAACATGCATGAATTCAAGAAACACAAAGAGGAAAGAAAAAAAATGTGGTCAACACAGAGGGATTTAAAAACAACATTTTCATCAATTTTATAAAGCAAGAACAAAGAAATGAACTGGGTTTGTCTTCTAAAGCATACCTAAGAAGCTGAGAACTTTCGTAATCGGAGGCGAGAATTTTTTCCGGTTTTGTCGATTTTTCAGACCGGAGAAAATGGAGGTGAAATTAAGCGAAGTTGGAACACATCTTTAGGCGGCGAGGCACGAATTTGAACTACGAATTGAAGAAGCGTTTTTGCGGAGGAAGGGACGAGTCACGGGACGAGATAGAGCTGGGTGAGAGGCGAATTAACTCGACTCGGGCGATTTCTAGGGTTTCTGTCCTCGGCTGACTCGTCGTTTTTAACGAATTTGCAAAATGAGGGCTTGTATTTTTTATAAAATGATAGAAGAGCCTCGATAATGAAAATCGATGCAATTAACCCTCTCTCGCAGTCCAGTCAGATCTTCGTTTCTTGTGTTTTGCTCTTTCACCAATATAGCAAAAAATAACTTTGGGAATGCCTTACCTTGCCCTTTCCATTTTCGTGTTTCAAAAACAGTTTTACATATTTTTCTACCAATCCAAACAAATTATATAATTTGCCAAACTCTTATCTTGGTGATAATCTTATATCAAGCAAGCCAAAAATAGTGTCTCTATCACATTTTTCAAGCCAAACATCAACGCATTATCATTTCTTGGCTCGAGAACTCTGAATCATCATCAAACAGTCTTCCAATAAATTCTTCCATGTGTGCTTTATCACAACTTCCAAACCAAAACATCAACGTATTATCATTTTCTTCGATATGTGCCAATCATAACCTAATTCACTAGCTAAAGAACTCTAAAAATATCAAACCTTCTCTGTTCCATGAAAATCTCCAAACCAGTAAGCCATAAAACAAGACGAAATCTTGAAATCATACAAAGACTTTTAAAGATTGAAGATGGAACCCATTAATATGAATGAATGTCACTGAGTCTTACACACACCATTGTACAAAATAAAAGCCCTAATGTATCTTAATTCAAAGTCTCCAGCTTTCTCTGTGAGACATTTGATCAAACACGTCTGAGAATGAACTAAAAATCACCAAGATAGTTCACTAATAACCGCAAAAAAGTAATCTTTTCTTGAACCCTAGAAGAGATATATCACACAAAATCCCTACGTACCAGTAAATTGCTGTCAAGATTTAGAAAATCAGCGTTCATCTTCCTTCCTCTTGCCGGTGGCTTTATTCTTTTGAATAACAATATCCTGAAGATTCGCCAATGCACCTTTAGCTCTCAACTTGGCCGCTTTAGCTGCTATGATCTTCTTACGAGCTTCATCTTTTAACAGAGCCACCAAGTTATTCATATTAGCCACCGAGATCTTTGCAGCTGCGATAAGAGCCATGGCCGATTCCGCACTGAGAGGCGTTTCTTCAGGGACGTCATCATTGACACGAGATTTGGGGAAGAATGTGAAATTGGGGTTAGAACATGGCTGGCATGTGAAGGAAGAAGCTGGTGGTGGAGCGGAGGAGGAGGAAGATGCGGCGGTGGAGGAAGACGGCGGCTGAAGTGAGCAAGAAAGGTGGGTGCTTGAAGGGCAATTGACGCAGATGATACGAGCTTGTGGAGAAACGGCGTTGTCGAAGAGATTGAAACAAACAGAGCAAAAGAGGTCACGATATTCTTTGAGCAAACAATCGGTGCAGAGTCGCCGGAAAACGCCGGTTTTGCTGACGGTGTGGATGAACGACGGCTCTTTTTCACGGCATACTATGCATTCGCGTTGATTCTGTTCCGGATTCATGGCTAAGTCACCGAGATTGAGAACTCTCTCTCTCAACGGTAACCCTAAGCGAGAGAGAGATAGAGAAAGATGAAAGAAGCGTTTGTGTTCTCAGAATGTTCAAGATCTTGGGCTCGAAGAGACTTCAACACAACTGTTTCATTCTATTGGGAGATGAAAAACTTATATAGAAGATTAAAAATTGGATCTTGATTCTTGCTAGAATTAAAAACCGAATCTTTTTTTTCTGTAAATACGAAAGTATATATATTTAGAAGATGAAAGGAAACATAATAAATCTTGCTTATTGCAAACTCTTTAAGCATTGTGATATAACAAATGCGAGCAAGCCTAAATTCCTCTATTTAATCGTTTTCAAATCATACATCCAAACAACTAAAATAAGAAAAGACAATTTCATCTGCAAAAAGCTTTAGCTCTGTGATTCCACTTCCACAGCTTCTTTCTGGTCTCCCATTAATGTAAAAAGCCAAAATGAAGATCGAGATCATGTTGTTTTCATCACTCTGCCAACATAAATGGGTCAACTTCTCCAAGATCTGCAACCAACGGTTCTAATTCTGATGGATCTTCATCTTCCGGAGCTAAGTAAGTTGGAAATGGAAGCTTTGAGATGTCTGGTTTCTTGCACCATGCATCTTTTATGAACACAAAGTTTCCTTCTGCACCAGGAACCTGCAACAACACCAAATCACAATCACGACCTACTAATAAGAGAAGACCAATGGCATTCACGTTTTGTGACAGACAGATCATAGCCAAAGACTTGAACTCAGATTGAGATACTTACTTGTCCTCTCACCCACATGAGGTTCCTCGCAGGATCGATCTTGTAAACCCAAACGTTCTTTACTGTTCTCTGATCTGCACCCATTCTCCCAGCCATTTTTTTCCCCTTGAACACCTACTCAAGTGTATTTAACAAGTCAGTATTGTCATTTGCCTTGGAGAAAATTCCCAAGAATCATAGCAATTTGACACATACCTTTCCAGGAGCATCTCTTTGCCCTGTGGAACCACCACTTCGATGGGACAATGAAGCACCATGTGATTTCGGCATTCCACTGAAACCATGTCTTTTCATGCATCCCTGTAAATTACATAGCAAAATGCATCAATAACACAACCATTACTTTGCACAAACACTGTTTCATCTGCACCAAAGAAAATATCAAACTTTAAAGTCCTTGAGAATGGTTTCACCTGAAAACCTTTTCCTCGAGTGATCCCAGTGACATCAACGTACTGTCCCGGAACAAAATGGCGGACTCCGAGTGAAGTACCAACAGGAAGAAGAGCGTCTTCAGTCACAGGAAATTCCCTCAACTTCCTCTTTAACGGCACACCTTGTGCTCTGAAATGCCCCACCACAGCCTTTGACAAATGCTTCGGTTTCTTTTGCCCACATCCGATCTAACTAACAGAACAACACATGCCAATCACATTACTAAACCATGAGCTTCATAATATTCCATGTGACGTATATAAATTTTCTTTTCTTACAATTATATTCTCTGACGACACAAAAGAAAAGAAAGGGAAGTGTTCTGATGTCACAAGCTAAAACCCAATTCATCAATAAATCCATACACACAAAGTTACAGCAATCGATTGATCAAGTAACCACTAAGAGTAATCCGAATACACAAGTGAAACTAGGAGCACTATCAAAGAAACAAACTACATGGCCAAAATGGGAATGAATAAACTGCGATGGAGTTACCTGTAACGCAAAAATGCCTTCTTTCTCAACAGTTTTAACCTGAGAGACAATGTTGTCATCAACCCAAAGAATAGAAATCGGAACCCTAGCTCCCCATTTGTCCCAAAGCGCAGTCATCCCACACTTAACGGCGATGATCCCAGTCCTTCTGGAGCTACTAGACATCTCACCTTGTTTCGCCTCGATGATTCTGGTCGGAGGCCCGATAATATCAGATCCACCACCGTCGACCGACCCAGTATCTGAGCTGAATCGTCGGAGCAGAAAGAAGCTACAATGAGGTAGAGATTCAGAGGATGAAGGAGCTATAGACCGGATTGATAGAAACTGATTGATGCGAGAAATGAGGCCTCTCGGTACGGCCGCCATAATTTCGAATCGAAGCTAACTTCAATGGCTAAACGATGAAGGAAAGAGATGCAGAAACCGGAACTCGAAGGCTTTTGCGTAGGGTTTTAGATGGGCGACAAATGATAACGAAACCCTCTAAGTCAACAAGAGAGTCTAAAAATGAGAATTTATTTATTTAAAAAAAGAAAATAAAATATGTGGACGAGAAAACAAAATCCTACGTGGCTTATCCATTGCGACATATAAAAAACAAAACGGTACATGAAAATTTGCGTCAATTTCAAAATCAATCTCAAATTCTCAAATGTCAGTGATTCGTCCTTCTCCGATTCCAATTCCGAGATGCAGATCTCAGGTACTGCATCGTCGTCTTTATTCGATCCAATTGATTCAGAAACGACGTCGACGGTGGAATCCAAGGTCGGAGGTGGAGGATACTGCGGTTAAATCGACGGCTCGGTCTCCAGAGGCAGCAGGAGGGAAAATGGTTGTGGAGCTAGTTGGAGCTTTCAACGAAGTAACAGAGAGGATGAATTCGGTTTGGTTGTCGACGTCATCGTCTAGGTTACTCTTTAAAGCTCTGAAGCTCTCGATTCCGATTTTACAGTCTCTTCCTCTTGCCTCTGATGGTCGCTCTCCTCTTTCTAAGGCTCTCTCACTCTCTATCATACTCGCAGATCTCCAGGTTCCTCTCTCTCCTTGCATTTTCACAGTTTCTTGTGTAGATGATTAGGTTTTGTTGCTGATTCTGTGGGGAAATTGAAGCATAATGTTTAGAAAATCACTGGAGAAATCATGAAAATCTGATATTTGGGCAATTATATGGTAATGGTAGATGGATGCGGAAGTTATATCGGCGAGTATATTGAGTGAGGTGGTGGAGGCGAAAGCGATATCTATATATGAAGTTAGAGACCAGATTGGTACTGGAACTGCTCATCTGCTTCATGAGATTTTTCGTGTTAAGAACATCCCTTTTAAAGTTGATGTCTTGGACGATGAAACTGCTGCTTCATTGAGAAAGTTCTGTTTAACCTACTATGACATCAGAGCTGTGATCATGGACTTGGTTTCAAAGCTTGATGAGATGAGGCATTTGGATCACTTGCCAAGGTATCGCCAGCAGATTCTCTCCCTTGAAGTGTTGAAGATTTATTCTCCTTTAGCTCATGCCGTAGGGGCTAATCATCTGTCACTTGAGCTCGAGGACATCTCTTTTCGTTATCTTTTCCCTTGTTCGTATCTATACTTAGATTCATGGTTAAGAGGTCACAAGAACGGGTCGTTGATAGACGTGTACAAAGAGCAGCTTCATCGGTCTTTGAAGGCTGATTTGGTTTTGGCTGAAATGGTGGATGATGTATATATTAAAGGTCGGTATAAAAGCCGGTACAGTATGATGAAGAAGCTCTTAAGAGACGGGCGTAAACCGGAAGAAGTTAATGATGTGCTTGGTCTACGGGTCATATTGATGCCGAATTCTGTAACAAACGATGTTGAAGTGGGCGAAAAAGCCTGTTACAGAACAAGTGAGATTATCCGGTCTTTGTGGAAGGAGATTCCTCATAGAACAAAAGACTACATTGCTAGGCCGAAGGAAAATGGGTATAGGAGTCTACACATGGCGGTTGATGTTAGCGACAACGATCAGACAAGACCTTTGATGGAGATACAAATACGGACAATGGATATGGATGGATCCGCTAATGCTGGAACAGCATCACATTCTTTGTATAAAGGCGGTCTAACCGACCCAAAAGAGGTAAGCAGTTCTGCGTTTTTTTAGTTTGGCAATTTTAGGAGGTTGAGTTGTTTGTTTGAATCATGTTTAGGCGAAGCGGCTTAAAGCAATAATGATGGCAGCAGCGGATCTTGCAGCGATTCGACTCAAAGATCTCTCATCAAATAAACACCAAAGCTTCAAGACAACAATGAACCAGAGAGACAGAGTGTTTTGCCTTCTGGACAAAAACGGGGACGGAATGATCAGCATAGAGGAACTAATGGAAGTGATGGAAGAGCTTGGAGCTCCAGGTGAAGACGCAGAAGAAATGATGCAGCTTCTTGACTCTAACAGCGATGGATCTCTTAGTTCAGACGAATTCGATACGTTCCAGAAACAAGTCTGTTCATTATTATTTTCTAACATAATTTTTCATTCTCTCTTTTATAAGTGACTTATTGATGGGGTTTGTCATTTCTGTTTGCAGGTTGAGTTCATGCGTAAATGGGAAGATAGAGATAACGAGTACAAGAGTCTTTTAGACGAGAAGCTTCATGATCTCCCACATCAAGATACCACAGGTTTGATACAGTTATACAATAAAGAGCTTGAGGATCGTCTCTCAACCCATTAAATATCAAACCATTTTTCTAAAATCTAATATTTACCCATAAATGTGTATACTGTATATGTATTCCTAATTTCTTAGTTATCTGTTGACATAGATTTATTGGGTTTTTTTTTTCTTCTTAAGTATGTTTAAGAAAACCCATTTTAGTTTCAAATGACAAACTTTTAAAACCAAAAAAACCCTAATGTCTAAGTGTAGTCGGCCTCGCATTCTTTAACTTCATCTGAGAGATCACAAGAGGGAACAGAGACAATGGCGATGTCAGATTTTCCACGGGATTTGTTAGAGGATATACTCTCTAGGACTCCACTCATGATTCAAGCCCTTCAAGCCAAACTCAAGGTACAATCTTGCCTTCTCTAATCAGCTTCAGCAAGTTAAAGCCATATCCAAGATAGGCCCCAAAAAATGAAGCCCTTTATGCCAAAAATGTTTTTGGCCTTTTATCACTAAAAAAAAAAATGTTTAATATTTTTAATTAAGTTTTTGGTGTTTAACTATAAAGAAAAAAAATCAAAATTTTGGACTTTTCATATTTTCAAAAAAATATTTAGGGGGTGTTATTGGTTTGTGATTTAAATAGAGTTTTAGTGACTTAAAATGTTATGTAGAATATGTTGTTATTCAATTAAGATTTTTAAAAAATTTGTTAAAGTTTGGTGTTATTAGTTTAAGATTTGTGAAAAGTAATCTAAAAATCTTCATAAATCTGAGTTATTGGATTCATACTTATATAAAGTCAATAAAAGTTTTGTGTTATTCAATTAAAACAAAAGAATCTATGATTTTTAATGAATTAAATTATTATGTTATTGGTTTATAACTTTCTACATTTTTCTTTACAAAATAAAGTCATGATAAGTATCATCAAAATAGAGAGATTGTTTGGGAAACTTTACAAGATTATGAAAAATTAATCAACAAGATTATAAAAAAACTCTCTAGAAATAGTTTAAAATCTTTCATTTGTTTACATTCTATGATTTTATTAAAGTCATCAAAATTCTTTTTAAATTAGGAAACAACAACACCCCTTTAAGCCTTTTATATCTAATTTTGGGTTATATTTAATTATCTGAAACAAATATAGATTTTTGTATGATTATTTCCATGAAAAAGCCTCGGCCCGTGACACCCCTTGAAAAATCAAAACCTTTTCTTGTTTAAAAATCTTGACTCGCCTCTTGTAAGAAAAACAAATGATGCCGCTGGACCTTCCGTCGGATTTGGTAGAGGAGATACTCTCTAGAGTTCCAGCGATAACTTTGAATCGGTTACGATCTACTTGCAAACGATGGAACGCTTTATTCAAAGACCAAAGATTCATCGAGAAGCAGGTACGTAAATCAGCAAAACAGAGTATGCTTCTCATGTTGAATGAATATAGAGTTTGTTCAATGAGTGTCGACAATCTCCTTGAGATTAGCGCTGCTGATCCATCTACAATATTTAAGTTCGGATTTAACCTAAAGGATTCTCGTTCTATATCAGACCAAGTCGATGTATCTGAAATCTTTCACTGCGATGGTTTATTATTGTGCACCACCAAGGACAATAGTCTCGTGGTTTGGAACCCTTGTACTGGTCAAACCAGGTGGATCCAACACAGTCATGCTCATGCACCTTATCCTCGTAAGGGAAATTCTATGTTTTTCCTTGGATACGGAAACAACAAGTCTTGCCGTAGCTACAAAATCTTGAGGTATTGGGATGATGGCACCCTATCCAGGAAAGTTGTGGAGTTTGAAATCTATGACTTTATCTCTGATTCATGGAGGGTTCTCGATAATTTCACTTGCAACTTCGTCCCACGAGTAAATGGCATGTCTTTGAAGGGAAATGGTTATTGTCTTGCTTTTAATAACATGAACCACAACATAACATTCTTACTCAGTTTTGATTTTACAACAGAGAGATTTGAACGCCTCTGTCTTCCGGATCCGTCTTTTCAGACTCTTGATCATAAAACTATAGCTCTATCAGTTGTTAGAGAAGAACAACTCTCATTGTTACTTCAGCGTTGTCGTGCATCAAAGGTGGATGTATGGATGACTAATAAGATTGATACTAATGAAGTGGTGTGGAGCAAATTTTTTACTGTAGATGCATACATTCGTCGTCATATGTTATCGTATTACGTTAGTTTCGTCATCGACAAGGAGAAAAAAATGGCCGTGGGTTGTGAGCCAAGACACTACTACGAGAGAAACAACCTTGTATACATTGTTGGAGAGGACCGTGCATACACAGAAATCCCTTTTGGAGAAAGGCCCGTGTTCACTCCTTATGTGAAATCATGTAAGCCATTTATTTTCAATTATGTTCCAAGTTTGGTTCAGTATTAGTCGATACAGGTAAGGACGTCATTTCTTCAATCTCCTCTTTGTTTTGTTCTTTTCGTTTTTGTGTTTTTGTAGTGAAAGTCGTTTGATTAATCTATGACTATATATATTATCTTATACTTATTTTCGTCTCCTGTTACTCTTTGATTCCTCGCGTCTTTGCACTACATTCAAGTTTCAACTAAAACAAGAACAAGCTTGTGAATTTGATGAGACCAAACAACATAGCATAGTGTTACAAATTTACGCATTTGGAATTGAATGATGTACAGTGCAGATACAAACGAAACATGTATAATATTTACAAAAATAAATGAAGAGATATTCTTGGGATTTTGGCTAATAAGCCGATTTGCCACACCAAATACAGAGCAAATACAAAGGTAGTGAATAAAATCTCTAATTCTTGAGATATGATCTACGCCACGGTTTATACTTATCATTAATGCAATTGTTCGCACTAATCAATATAAATCGAGCTCCTTTTTATATATACTTAAGATAATAAATTATGGACATGGATGGTGTGTACCATATGATAAATTATTAGAGCTATGTATATCTCTTCATGCCAAAACACCAACACCTAAGTTACTATCTCTTGCTCCGGCGAGGATGTGCCCACGTCTTTTAATAGTCTCTCGTACAACTGCACCAAACCCAAAATTAACCATAAATATTTTTATCTTTGATATTTTACTACTTCAATAAGAAATGACAATTGTACCATACCTGTCTATATAAACATGAATCGCCATAAGATTTTCTTAGCTCAACCACGTTCAGTGACGGTTTTATCTCGAAAACCTGTTATTATATGACACGAATTTCTTCGATTAGTCAAATATAAATCACTAAATATTCTTTAAAAGAGTGAAATAATATTACGTAATAGTTAATATACCTCAGCTGTTACTGATAAACCAACTTGACCTTTCTGGTTTCTTTCTTCTTGTTTTACTTTTAACTGAAACAAAATACAGTTTAAAGTTTATGAACTCTACAGATTTTGAAATAATTCCAAGTACCCAAGGAAGAGGAAGAATATGTTGTGAAGACTCACCTTCGCATGTTTCTTTTGTACACTGAATCCCATCTCTGTAACGGCTGTTTCGATTTTCTCGAGTAAATCTTTTGCGGAGCTATTTGAAGTGAATCTTATTCTCCTCTCTGATACATTCTGAAAATGCAAGAGTATATATATATTTTTAATAATGCATTGTCTTAAGCAGAGAGCACATATTTGAAACAGAGTAAAAGATTATTTACCTCTTGTTCAAAGAAACCGGACAGGTCAAGAAAGGAAGACATTCCAATTAACTGAAACGCATTGATGATCGTTGGTGAATCACTGCCCTTCCCTTCTTCTGATCCCTACACCGTTTGACAAAGAGGCAGAGAAATGAGCACATTGTACTAATTAACTGCAATTGCAATAAAGAGAGAGGCGACAGATTCTTACGAGTTCTTGGATTGAGAAAGCATCATCGTCTGTGTCAACTTCTTCTTCGTCATCATCATCGGGAATTGAAGGAATATACTCGTGTTTGAACCACTCGCTGGCTTTAATACCCACGACTGTGATCCTGGTGACTGGATTTGGATCGAGCATTCTCTTAATCATGGTTCTTGCACCTGGTGATAACCATCTTGGTATTGGTGGGTCTCCTTTGCATATCTGAAAATAAAAATAAAATCTTTTATCAAGCTTATTTCTTCAAAATGTGTATTGAATTGGAATATATATATCAGAGAAAATGCGGTTTACCTTCTGGTAAAGAACTGCAAGGTTTCTATCGTCAAAAGGAAGACATCCAGTTAGAATCACATACAAGATTACACCACACGACCATATATCTGATGCTGCACCATCGTAACCTCTGTTGGCTAAAACCTCAGGCGCAACGTAATTAGGACTTCCACAGGTTGTATGCAACAATCCGTCATCCTAAAATGCCAAAGAGAAAATTAGTTGTAACTCAAACGGATTCAACAATTATGTTTCTGCTGTGATATGCTAAGTACCCTAAAATGCTGAGGCAGAGCACTGAGGCCAAAATCAGTGATCTTTATATGTCCCTTTGCATCAAGAAGAACATTCTCTAGCTGCAATATAGAAGAATGGAAAACATCAGTGCACTATTCCATAGAGTTTTTCATGGTTTGAAACACAGTGAGAGAAGCACAGACCTTGAGATCCCGGTGGAAAACACCTTTGCTGTGACAGTAGCTGATTCCATCGATCAGCTGCTGAAACATTTTTCTTCCATCAGTTTCTGTTAATTTTCCGTTGGAAACCTGAGAGTTATCATCAGAGTGTGAGTTTAGCTTAAAATGACACTCGTTAAAAAAAAAAGTTTTGCTTAGAGCAGAGAGGGTAGTAGGGGTCTTACAATTCTGTCGAACAATTCTCCTCCGGTAACAAGTTCCATTACCATATTAATTTTCGTTTTGCTAGCCAATACCTGCATGATGACAAAAGATTAGTCACAAGAAGAATATGAAAAAAAGAACATTGAAATTCGAGTTGCATTCAGATGAATCAGATCCACAGATTCCGTAAACACTTAGGTGTCCAAGATTTACAAGAAACACATAAATAATAATAGGTAACCACAACACGACAGAGTTAGTCACGAGCTTAAAAAATGGACCACGTGTATCGAATATGTGAAGATCCACAATAATTAGATTGCTTAACTAAAATGTCAGATTAATCTCGTGTAACATGGCAAAGCAATTGAAATAATTAGAAGTCAACAATAAAAGTCCTCCATTTAAAAAAAAAAAAAAAAAAAAAAAAAAAAAAAAAACTCAAAGATACAGCAAGCAATACCCATAAAATAATCTGAATAATACTATATGAATAAAATAAAATAAAAAAGTAAAACTATATACATAAGATCAAAGAGGGTCCACATGATAAAAGCTTAAAAGGGTCCTAAGATTAGGCAATTATATGATCAAGCGACATATTCTGCATTTTTCACGATAATTTTTTTAGGACCCACCTTGGAATTGAACAGGTCAGATTTGTGTTACCGGCCAAGCCACCGTATCAAATAATGGAATCATTAACTTAAAAATTATGTAAAACGGTGCGGCTAATTGGCAACGTGAAAAACAAGGTAAAGCAAACATGTTTGGGTACGACATCGAAGACCAGATTATACAATTTCTAAAGTGATAAAACCGAATGACTTCTTGTAAGAATATTCCTAAACAGTCAAAAAAGATCCAGAAAGGAAACAACAATTATCCAACAAGATTCGAGGTTTTAATCCATTTGATAGATAAAGAAACAACAGAGAAGAAAGTAACTAAAAATAGTTTACAAATTTCGAATAACCATCCATAAGCAGCAAATAATTCGATTACTTTCTGTCATACTCAGGTATACTAAATAAACACAAACCTAAAGCAAACAAACAGAACAGAAGAATAATCCAAAATTTGTTATACTAATTTCGATAATCCAAAAAAATTAAATGGATTAAGAGACGGACCTCATGTAATCTAACAATGTGAGGATGTTTCAACATTTTCAGAGTCCGGATCTCTCTTTTTATCTGCTCATAAGAAATTGGATCCGTCAAAATTACAAATTAAGAAATGATATATAGAGAGATTAAGATCGAATGCAAACCTGTAAGGAGAAGTTGAGATCGGCGATACGAGACTTGTCGATGATTTTAACAGCGACGGATTGACCGGAGACGGTATCTTTAGCGAATTTAACTTTACCGAAATTACCCTCGCCGAGCGTCCTACCAAGCTCGTATTTACCCAGACGCATTCCCTTCTCCACCTTCTTCTCCTCTTGCCTTCTCACCATCCAATCAAATCACCAATTTCCCAAATAAAAACAACAGAGACAACCAAATAGTCGATTTCTCGCTTGAATCTTCCGATTAAATTACTAATTCCGTTATTAAAAGGGGGAAGTAGATTATTGTAGCTCTGTGTAGGTTTGTGTGTGAGGGAAGGAGATATATATATATATATATATATAGGTGTAGGTAAAGAGACGAGGAAGATTGGGAAGAAGAAGAGAAGAAAGTGCCGGTTGAAATTGAAGAGAGGACGCTACTTCTCTTTGCTTCCTCTCTTCTTATTATATTCTCTTTTTTTTTTATTCCGCAACTATTTTTTTTTGTTTTTTGGTTTTGTTTGCCAGATTTTATTGGATAACTATTAACATATTAATATTAACCAAAAAAAAAAATCAATAAACAAATTAATCTAACAAACCAGAAAAGATTTAATATTATCGAAATAAGATTTTTTTTAGTAGGGTACTTTTCGAGATATGTTATGATTGGTCAAATAAAACTCCTCTAAAATGAAATTATGTCTATGTTCATTATAAGAGAGGAGAAAAAAGGATCTTATTTCTCTTTTTTGTCAACAAGGAACTTCTTTGTACAAATATGTATAATATACGCAAGAGTATATTGATTATTTTCTATCACAATAATGTTTTATATACAGTTTGATGTATTTGCGAATATATATGTGTATTTGATGTGTGTACTTGTAGGCATCAATAGGCCCACGTCATTTGTTGCATTAGTTTTATGTTGATATTAAAATAATTATAGATAAAAAGATCCATAAGAAACTTTGGTTTAAAGTCGGAAAGAAATTTTGCTGCCAAACCAAAAAAAAAGTCGGAAAGAAAACGCTATACAAATTACAAAGGTTAGCGTTGCTGGAGCAGGCTTTCGGTTTTAGTTTTTTAAATCTTTAAACAAACTTTTAAACTACACATACTAGTTAATAATTTCATAAGAAATCACAAATTAAGTTTCCAAGTAACTTAAAAGTTTAAGTCGTCCAACTATGATTTCTTAAAATTACAGTTTAGTTTTTATAGAAAAGAGAAGATTCAAACTAGACCTGAACTTAAGACCCAATCTTAGAAACATAGATTATCATCAAGTCATACACTTCAACAAAGTAAACAACGCGTTCATAACCCATTCATTTTAACAGAAATTTTGATGCGATCGGGTGTTGAAACTCTAAATTATGATTTTCTATGTATCAATTCACAAACCTTACTAAAGATTGGACTTCGTTCTAATAGAGTAATAGACCGTAGGTCTTCTTCATTGTCGTGGCATTGTTAAGAGATAATTTTGTAATAAATCAATTATAATTTTTAAGTCGATATCGTGCATGTATTAATTATAAATAATTTTAAAACACTTTTTATGATAGTGCTTTCAGTTTGGGAAAATAAAAAACATCGTGCTTTCAGTTTTATATTGTTTCTGTCTTTTTAGACTAATAATTTCGGTTGTAGACTTTTAGACATTTTTAATTCGCGATATAGGCAAGAGTTTAGAAACACAATCGTTGATGATACACTTTAATTTAAAAAATTAAAAAAAATGTTGACAAAAACATTAAAAATATGGTGATTTATATCTCATGTCTGTTATTTTGTCGGCTCACAACTATATCACATGGTTACATTCAATTTCTGTGATTTTCCTATGCGGTTTTTGTATTTAAGAAAATAATTTGTTTTCGATAATCAAGAATATCCCTAAATGAAACCAGACTAATCTCTTGAATTTTTGGAAACCCCCATATATTTTTCAACTCAAAACCTTTTTATTGAAAAACATAGTTCCGTAAATAGAGAGCATGGATTATTGAAGAATGTAGTGGTTCTTAGTTCTTTATTTCTCACCTCCTAACATATTTTTGTGGTAATGAAAAAGTCATATATGTGTCACATGTTTCTCAAGGCATCTTTTCCCAAGATTTTTATAAGAAATTTGTAAATTATGTGGCTGAAATAAATAGATATACATATACTATATAGAAACTAGAAAGGAGAGGAAAGAAAGTTATTAAAAGTGTCGGAATGGCCGGTGATAGTGTTGCTGCCGGCTGCCGCCAGTGAGTTACATATTGAATATTGATTGATAATTAACTATGTGATCAGAAATTCAGAACCTCTCTTTTTCTTCTTTATTTTTTTTTTATTTTTTTTGTGGGTGTGTAATATAATTTTTTTTTTAAGAAGTTAATAGAGGCACTTAAATTTAAATTATTCGTGGTTATACTTTCTCAACCAAATATTTTATACCACAATTTTTCTCTTGTCCCATTCTTTTGTTTGTGCTCTTTCAATGTTAAACTAAAGAGATATTAACCATTGATTAAGAAACGTTAATATAAGCCTTTGATTCTACGTGTTACAATTCTAGCTTCCTGTGTATAGTCTCTCACTGGATTAACAGCAATGGATACACGTTTCGACCTACATACGAGCCCAATAACCCTAAAAAATATTAATTAAGTATCTAAAAGCAGAAGTTTTGGGATGCTTGCTTTGGTTTGTTCATAACAATGCCAAAACTCATACTAATGCTTATAGCCAAAAGATTGTCTGATTTTCTTAAAATTTTAAAAAATTAAACACATCTTTTTTTTTTTTTTTTTTTTTTTTTTTTTTTTTTTTTTTTTTTAAATTAAACACATCTTAACTACCTTCGAATTAGTTGTTTAGACATTGCAAATGGTGCGTAGTCAAAATATACATCAAAAATCGTCTTTAAACATCTACATGCATTAGTCTAAATATATTTCATAGAGATATATATTATCAATTATTAATCTGTCTAGAACAAACTTATACCATATATGTAGTGACAATGTTCGAAAGCTCACAACCTAATATTTCTGTTAACAAACTTAGATATTTTTAGTAATAAAACCAAAACAAAAGATATTGTTTTAAATATATCTAAACAAATTATATAATATGTTAAATGAGCGCACCATATTCGGCTTGAGATACGCAAAATCGATATTAGTAGTGTCCACCTAAAATACCCATTTTTGATTGGTCAAGTGGCTATCGTAAGAACATAATTTGATACAGAAAATAACAAAATTTAATACGGTTTCGATTTTTCTTTCTTAAAAAACCTTGATATAGAAGACAAGAATGAGATTTTTAAGAGTGGGCAGTACCACGTGAATTGAACCAACCAACTGATGACTGACTGGTGTGGCCATTTCAGCCATGTGGTTGCTCTCTTCTTTCTTTTTCCAAGCTTTATTATTTATTATTTTTTTCTCAATGGAAAACTAATGTTTTATTTTTCGTTTTTTTTTTCTTTTGATACTAATATACTATGGTGCCAACTGCATATTTGGATAAAGCCCTAACTTCGTTTCTTTTTTGTTCACCAAGCACTATCTTAGGTTATCTCAACATCTTAAATGACAAATTACAAGATGATCTCATGTATCGTCCAATTATTTATATAACATATATACCAATGGTTATATGAATATATATATATATATATATATACTTATCACTTATGGTTACAATGAATTGATATATTTTAATACTTTTCAATGTTTTTCTTTCTAAAATTCACATTTATCATATAAACAAAAAAGAATAGCTATAAAAAAATATTTAAACTGTCATTTGCTACTTCTTTTTAACTGATTAGTTGTGACCAACAAAATAAACTAATAAAGAGTGAAATTCAACTTTCTTCCATCACCTATCTTTTCATCATAATTAACGTAATAAATACTATTAGGCTTTTAGCAAAGTTTCATCGTTTTCTCATCATCCATTGGGTTACCAGTAACCACCGTCCACCGTTAATGGGGTCGCGACTGGAGTGCGACTTCTTGTCGCCTAAGAAACCATTTGGCCTCATAAAGGATGTGTTAGTGTGTCCATAGATCCAGATTTGTATCAATTCCAACTCTTTTCTATTGAGAAAATTAAATTTGAATGACGAGTCAGTAACATAAATCATTATGTTACATGTCCGGATCTAACGAATCTTGTTCTATACGAAACGAAAGTCTAGTTACTCACATGAAATTTGAATAAAGATGGTAGAGAAAGAGGCCAAAAATAGATTTACACGAGTATTGCAAAAAAACAAAAACAAAAACAAAAAAGAGAAAAGAAGAAGAAGAAGAAGGAAAACACGATAGCTAGGCAACGAGAGTAGCCACATCTCGACATTCTTGACCTCAAAAATGGGCAGTTGAACTCATATAACATTTGTGTGCCCATGTGAGATAGTGATATATGTGTATATATTATATAGTATTTAAATAAGTGGCCCCTGTATATGTTTGAATAGAATGTCTTCGCATATAATTTTGGTCGTATTATATGGCAATGATCAATTATGAAAATTCTTAATTATCCCCGTCATATAAAATGAATAATCATTGGTTAAACCTGTGGTCATATATTCTTCGCTTAGAAAAATAATAATTAACATCTTATTTATGTGAATACTCGGAAGTTTTCGGTTGATGATTTTAGGATGCCGTATTCTGATATATATCCTGAGTTTTGAGTATGTGTTCTGTTATATTTATGATGAGTTTGTTATGTTGTATTTGCAGTTCTGATCGATGATATACATATATACTAATTCGAGTAGATACAATCCAATATTTTTGTGAAATTAACCATATGTCCATATTGATATATTTATCCACAGCTTAACTTATATTGATATAAACCTTAAACTAACAAGAGTATCCGTAAAAGTGAACTACATTTTTTTAAAAAAATCATGTATATATTTCCAACTCGAAATCGATTATTGATAAGTGGAATGCCTTGTATCTTTAACATAAATCTCATCTCGTTAGCAAATGTGAAATTCTAAGATCTTGATTTCATTATTCACCTAGATGTATTTCTCACTAGATTTATATGGAATCAATGAAGATGGGACCAAAATAAAAAAAAATTGTAGAAAATATCGCTAGGCAGGGACAAGTGACAAATATATAAATAGGTTGTATAAACACACACACACACACAAAAAACTACAATCGTTAACAAACAGGAATATAAACTACAAGGTTTCAGAAATATGAATATGTTTTCATATGACTATGAGCTAAGTTTGATGTATCTTCTTTAATATGTGAAGTAGCCTTCAATATAAAACTTTTACCTTATTATATTACTTTCCAAGTTTTTTTGGAGTTTTGAAATTCCATGTTGAATTTTGTTTTAGAGGTTTGAAATTCCATGTTGAATTGTGGAGAATATTCTTTATCTTGGGACGTTAACGCACTTAATTATTATATAGAAAAGGGAAACTTTGTGATAAGCGATAACGTAAATTCGTAAAGGATCCTAGATTCCACAGCAATAGTTTATACGTCAATTTAGACGGTGTTTAAATATCATATTTTGATTAATATTTTAACAATAACGTAGGGATTTCCCAAAAGCGACCCACTAAACAATACCTAAGTGGATAAATGAGTCTCTTTCTCTTACAAATCTTATCCACAATCAATCCACATATATAGACAGTATTTGTCAATCCATATATATACAGTATTTGTCTATCTATGTTTTATTCATATAAAAAAGAGACACATGACACAAACCTTTCCATTGACGAAGAGGCAAATTCTTGTTTTAAGTATACCCCAAGTCCCCAACAAGGCCAAATTGGATGCTTAATTGATATACTTCTATGATACAAAATCAATTCGGCAAAAACATAAAAAGATACAACTTTGAGTTTCCAAGAAATACAACTATAAAACAAGATCAAAATAGGTTGGCTAATGATAATTTACACTCTACGTTTATGCTGGTACGACTACTTTATGTGCTATAGCTTCATGTATAGCAACTTAACCAGAATTGACACCAACAGAAAAACTATTGAAGTAAACGCAATAACTTTTTTTAATGTAGTATTAATTTTGTAATACACTAACAATTAGTAGCATTAACAAATTCAAAAGTAATGTGATGAAATATAATATGTTACGCTAAATAATAGTGTTGCTTGACGCGCTATGGAATCTCCAACCCTTGGGAACAAGAAAGAAGAAAGCAAAAGCTATCGTGTCACAATTTTGACATCACCCCAAAAAGTGTATGTAGAATATATTAATTTTAACCTTAGATGATTACAGTTCCAATAATTGTAAGCAAAGTAGCAACGAAGAGTCGTGTCGAGGTTACTAGTTTAATTCAATTTGGAAAAGTGAACCACCTTATGATTAAAAAGAGCGTAAGGTATTGTTATTATAAGTTTGTGATGTGAGCAATCAACTTCTTCTCACCAGCCACTACTCGTCACTCGACCACTGGAGTGGGGGCAAAAGCCAAAAAGATAAAATAAAGGCTAAGTTTAATAAATATACGATCTACGTGTTTGGTCTTATGTTAATCCATGTGGCCAGATTAGTAATAAATAATGGCAATGGCTTAAGGTTAATGGCTAATCGGTATATTGGTTTGGATCCTCTTCTCAATACTACGAAACGGCGTCGTTGCAACATCAAAGCCTACTTGCGAAAAACGTCGTTTGCAAACATCATTGTCTTCTGACCAAACGAATGACGACGTTGTTTTAGCAAGCTTGCTGCTTCTGACCTTGCAATGCTTGGGCCACTATGCCTCACTAATGGGCCCGAATAGTTGCATCTAGCCTCTTTAATTCAGAACGTAAGGTGTATATCCCAAAAGATCAACACATACACAACAAAACAAAAAGATTAAAACATGAAAAGATTAAAACATGATACATAATTAAACATCTGTAACAAGAAACAGCCAGATCAACATCTTAACACTGTTCAAGACATCGATGATTTTCTACCAACTTCTTAGAGCTCAGCATCATCGTCGGTCAAGCTCTCTTTAACACGTTTTGACTTGTGTGACACGGTATCTTTAGCTTCCTCCGATTTACGCGCAGCTGAGTCGTAACTCTGCGACGCCGTATCTTTTGCAGACTCCAAAGTCTCATCGGCTTTAGATTTCGCAGTCTCGTAGCTTTCCTTACTTTTCTCCTTCGCACTCTTACTCTCCCTCTCTGCTTCCTCCTTCAACTTCTCCGCCTTCTCCTTAGCTGCACTCGTCATATCGCTCGCCTTCTCTTTCGCCGCCTCAACCGTTTCCTCCAACTTCTCCTTAGCATCTCCTGCTTTGCGTTTAGCCGCGTCCTTAGCGTCTTTAGCCTTCTCCGACACCGTCTCTCCCAAGTTAGGACTATTGATGTCTTCATTCTTGATTCCGATTTTCTCTTTGGCCCAATCAGTCCAAGACTCATCGTTTTCATCTCCCGACAAGCTATCTTTAACTTGCTTTGACTTGTGAGACACGTCATCCTTAACTTGACCAGCCGAGTCGTAACCCTGAGAGGCCTTGTCTTTCACGGAACCCAAACCCTCGCCAGCTTTCGATTTAGCTGTCTCGTAAGCCGATCCCACTTTCTCCTTTGCGGCTCCAACCGCTTCCTCTGCTTTGCGTTTAGCCGCCTCTTTTGCGTCCTCGGCTTTTTCACTCGCTCTCCAAGCGTCGTCTTGTACGGTTGTGGTGGTGTGAGTGGGTTGGATGTTGTCTTCGTGCTTGAGACCGATCTTTTCCTTGGCCCAATCAGTCCATGATTCATCCTTAGCCGCTTCTTCCTCGATCGTAGCTTGGACACAATACATCGTTGCAATAGCCATAAGTACCAAAGATACCATAACCAAACCGTACACTTTTCTCTCTAACCCCATTTTTATTACACTAATCGAACACAAAATATATTATCTGATTATATAACTTACAATCTAGCTCTCTCTTTCTCTTTGTCGCGCAGGAATGAGCAGTATTTGATAGATAGTTATCAAGTTTCAGAAGAAAAAAAATACCTCTGTTTATTGTGATGTGTTCTCCGAGGAATGGTGCTGTGATTGCTTCTCTTTATGTATTAGTTGAAAAAGAGATACGCTTATGACGCGTGGCTAACTACGTGGCGAGTACCAGCTTCTTTTGGCTTCTCAATTTTGGATTCGTGTTAAGTGGTCTTGACACGTGTTACACAAACAACGAGGCAACGATTGCTTTTTGCGGAAAACCGACTCGCAAAAAAGAAGAGAGGCTTCAAATCAAAGACATCTGTGAAGCTAATGGGCTTGTATACAAAAGCCAGTGGGCTTTTTATAAACAAAATACTCGAGCTAATGGGCTTATAAACAAAAGCTAAATGATCTATTCACCGAATCAAATCCGAACTATATAAAACCAAACCAAATTAACCAAAATTGATTAAAAGAATTAATATTTTTCAGTTATTTTATATAGTTATATTAAATTCTACTATCTTAACTAAAATCAGTTATTTTCTAGATCCTAAAAATTTCGAAACTTTTTTTCTATTTCGAATGGATTTTTTTTTCTAAAATCCAAAAAACCCCAATTTCGAATAATTCAAACCGAAAACGAACAGATTAACCGAATGTCGACTCTAGTCCAAAGAAGAGAGACTTCAAATCAAACTCATTCATGAAGCTAATGGACTAGCAAATGGGCTTTTTGTAAATAAATGGTCGGATTTGTAACTAATGCCCTAAAGTTATACACACTGATTCTCCCATACGCTTTCTTCCTCGAGCTATCAGATTAGTAAGACCATGTGCAATGGTAAATGAGTGTCCCGTCCCTTATTTAAAAAAAAAAACAAGTAACCAATCGCGGGCCGCCACGTATCAGTGGGGCCCGCGAATAGTGAAGGACGAGAAAGAGGGACGTCCCAAATAAAGAAACGTCGCATGGTTTTGGAGCAAAGGTCGCATGGTTTTGGAGTGGGGCCCAGCGTGGGACTTTGTCAAGGAACGTTGCTGCAAGTGCTCTAACAATGAGAAACAAGATAATGATTTCTGATCTTCCACACGAAGTAGAATCGGAAATACTCTCTAGGGTTCCGACCAAGTCTCTAGCAAAGTTGCAAACTACATGCAAACGATGGTACTCTTTATTCAGAGATCCGAGATTCGTGAAGAAGAACTTTGGTAAATCAGAAAGGAGGTTGATGTTACATAGTAATTTCGGCGTTTATTCAATTACCGACGATCTCCATGGAATTCACAACAGCGGTGACCCATCTCTCGAGTTTACAGGTAAACTTAGCAACTTAAAGATATCAGAAGATTTGAAAATAACCAAAATCTTTCACTGTGACGGTTTAATATTATGCTCCACTAAGGAAAACACTAGACTCGTTGTTTGGAACCCCTGTACCGGTCAAACCAAGTGGATCAAACGCAGCACTTTTTACCGGAGAGATGATCTGTATTGTCTTGGATACGTAAACAGCAAGTCTTCTTACCATAGCTACAAAATCTTGAGGTATTGCTTTTATTACAACGACGAGAAAGTCTGTGTTGGTGAATTTGAGATCTATGACTTTAGCTCTGATTCATGGAGGGTTCTTGATGACTGCACTCATAACTGGGGCTTATTCTGCAATGGCATGTCTTTGAAAGGAAATACTTACTTTGTTGCTGGAGAACAAGAAACAGGATTTTTCATGCTGTATTTTGATTTCAAGACAGAGAGATTTGAGCGTCTCCCTCTTCCGTATCAGAGTTTCAATTCTAAAGATACCGCGGTTTTATCAGTTGTTCGCGAAGAAAAACTTGCGGTGTTACATCAGAATATTCTTGCGTTTTCAAGTGAGATGAGGATATGGGTCACCAATAAGATTGATGAGGCCAAAAACTTGACGTGGAGCAACTTCGTCTTAACTGTGGATTATGATAGATTTAATTTACCAAGTGTGAATAATGTGTCAAGCTTCTTGTTGGACGAGGAGAATAAAGTGGCAGTGTGTTATGATAGAGACATGGATGATGAAGATAAGACCAGAATCTACATTGTTGGAGAGAATATATATAAAGAAGTTTATAAAGAGACTATAATGGGATCCCATTTCAATTGGCCACTTCTCCTCAGTTATCTTCCAAGCTTGGTTCACATTCAGGAAAATACACCCAAAAGACAAAAGAAAAGGAAACAAGAAGAGGTTAGTTAAACGAATTACTTAGTTTCTTTCTTTCTTCTGGTTTTGGTGATGTTTCTTTGAGCTAAGATTAGTCAATTATTCAAGGTGTTTTTTGTTTCTATTTAGTTGATAAACAGAGTAACTGGATTAAGCTTTTCTTGTCCCTCTTTTGCTTTTGAAATTGGATGTGGTATCTAGTGATATTTACTCAGATACATTGTTCTGCTTTTAGCCGCTTTCATCTTGGAGAGAGTATCATCACGTAAGCAGAATCTTATATAATGAAACCATTTGACCACAACTATACATACAAATGATTCATCTCCCTGTCTTGCAGAGCAGCTCTCAGCCTCTGTTCTTAAAGGTTTCACATTGTCTATCTAAACACAAACATATATGTTCATGTTGTTTCATAAGTAACACAGACCAACGATCCATTGAAGACTAATGGTACTTATATCAGATTGAAAATAAAGGTGATGCTTTATTACATTGCTTTTCTTACAGTGACCTCAACATCTAAATAAGAGCAGCATTCTGTGAAATCCAAATAAAAAACAGAAATTCTCTTAAATCTCCGATGGAACACAGTGTGATTTGGGCATAAGACATGACGCTTATAGAGTGTATACCATTGCATTGACCATATATTAGAGAAACTAAACATCAATACATGAACCTTCAGAAATAATACCCTGTTACTTGCAGAAAACAATAAAAATGAAGTTTCTACATAATGAATCTCATTTAAAAAGACAGAAGCAGAAACAACTGGATCTTCTTTTGCAACTTTGAAGTCTATTTCTTTCAGCAGAAAACTCATGTCCTGTGAGTCTTAACTCTTCCTCGACTCTGAAGAATCCACATTGGCCAGTCCACCTCTCTTCTCCTCCGAGTAATACTTTTACTCTCGTTGGCCATTGACTCTGAAATAGTTGAACTTGCTAATCTCCACTAAGTTACACTTGTGAATTGTGATTGATCCAAACATCACGTTATCATCCACAGACCACAGTGACCACTCCACGCCAATCAGCCAAAACCAAATCAGGCGTCTTTTGTGAGAAGTTTGAAATCTATTTCTTGTAGCAGAAACCTCACGTCTTGTGACTCTAGCTCTTCCTTGACTCTGAAGAATCCATAGTGAACTTCTTTAAGTAATTTCAGAACATTGGCCAATCCACCATTGTTTTTACTCTCGTCTCTCTTCTCCTCCGTGTAAGACTTTGACTCTTCTGGGCCATTGACTCCGAAATAGTGGTACTCGTTAATCTCCACTAGGTTACTCTTGTGATGGGTCCAAACATCACGCGTATCATCCACAATGACCACCCCACGCTCATCAGCCAAAACCAAATCAAGCGTCTTCACATAAGGACTCTCGTCTCTTGTTATCACTCTATCCCCAAAATAGATTCCCTTGGGATCAATCAGCTTCAACAAGGATTCGGCGTATACTCTAGTACCCATTGTATAAACATACATTGTGAACATTTCGTTGGCTTCCTTCAAAAACTCGTGAACAAAAGGCCGTAGCTTTGTCAAGTAATCGATGTCCAACTTCCATAGATCTTCCCTTGTAGTTGAACACGCTTCTTCGATTAGATACTTCTCTGTTTCGGAGAGAAGTGAAACCCTAATAGAGTGGAGAAGCGTGTGGTCCAAGTCAAGGACAAGATGAAGCTTCTTCTCGTTGAGACAATAGAATTCCGTTGTAAAGCGCTTCGTGAACGCAGCTGCTTCGTGGCTTAGCTGCAAACCTTGGACGAGATAATCGAATGCTCGGCCTTGGCGTTTGTTTACCATCGATTTACAGGCGATGCAGACTCCGTAACGAACATACCAGTGACCGCAGCTACTACCAGATGACGACAGTGACGAGGACGACTCGTTGATCGCCGGTTCGACTTCCATAGATATATTTTCAACTGCAAACATGATTTCTCTGATTGATGTAGTCCTGCCCTGAGTAAATACTTTGATTTGAAAATCACTTAGCACTGATCAGATATTTTGAGAGCAGAAAACCTCAGTAATCGAGCAGAACAAAACCCTAATTTGACAAGAGACTGCAGGAGAGAATATGATATTTAAGGGTGTTTTAGATTAGATTAAAAACCACAAAAAAAAATTGGGTGATCCAAATTAATTCTATTTTATTCCATAAATAATAAATTAACAACAATAAAATCATAACTTTTAATCTAAAATTCCAAGTTGAGATAAATTTTTAGATTTCTGATTTATCAATCTACACAATGATATCTAAACATGTGTAAGTTTAATCAGATTATGACACGTTCTAACAATTTTAAATTTTAATTATAAGTCATAGAAGGTAAACTACAAAACAAATCTACTTATTTTAGCTAGGCAACTAACCATAGAATAAAAAGGAAAAATTACAATAGTCTAAATTAAGAAAAGAATTAAAAAAAAAAGTAAAGAGGGGTATATATGCAGAATTTCACTTTCTAAAAGTACAAGAATAATTATTTATTTGAACAAAAAAAGGCATAATTATTTATTGCTATGTAAATTTTTGTTATTAGTAAAAAATCTTATTTGTCATGTTTTAAAAGATTTGAAATTGTGTCTTACGAATTTTACCTATGATATCAATGAAATTCGTCTTCTGGTGGGAAACAAAAAAGAGTGGGCATGCGTGAATGTTAAAACCCTAACTAAGATCTACGTTACCGTCCGTCGCTGTCTCCTATGTAAGATGAGCTCAGAAATCGCAAGAGAAACAAAGTTGATCTTCGATCTTCCACAAGATGTGATAGAGGAGATATTCTGTAAGGTTCCGGTGACATCTCTAAGAAGATTACGATCTACTTGCAAAAGATTGTACGCTTTACTCAAAGATCGAGGATTCATCAAAAAGCATTTTGCTAAATCAGCAAGGCAGTACCATGATCTTATGCTAATGAATTTTAGGGTTTATTCAGTGAGCTCCAATCTCCATGGAATTAACATGGACGTCGCTTCCTGGTTTAAAGGTGAGTTTAGCTTAATCAACCCCTATAGTAATTCTGAAGCCATTATATCTCAAGCCTTTCACTGTGATGGTTTATTGCTATGCACCACCAAGGAAAACCGATTAGTGGTTTGGAACCCGTTTTCGGGGCAAACCAGATGGTTGCAACCGCAAAATCGTGGTAGGATAGATGAGGCCTATGTTCTCGGATACGACAACGGTGACGTGTGCCATAGCTACAAAATATTGAGTTTTCCGGATCTATACGAACAAGAATTGGAAACTATCAAGAATGCATGGAAGGATCTTGATGTCACTCCCGAAGGCGACTTAGAATTGAAAATTAATGATTCTAGCTCTAATTCATGGAGGAGAAATCTTGGTGTCACTCCCCTAGGCGTCTTGGAATTGAAACTATATGATTTTAGCTCTAATTCATGGAAGTATCTTGATGTCATCACTCCCGAAGGTTGCTTAAAATCTTATGGCGTGTCATTGAAGGGAAATGCTTATTGGGTGTACGTGTCTAATCGAAGAGGAGTTAACGACTACTCTATACTTAGTTTTGATTTTTCAACAGAGAGATTTCAACATTTGTGTGTTCCCTTTCATCAGGAAGCAGATTGTTTTGATACTATGGCTCTCTCGGTTGTTAGAGAAGAACATCTTTCATTGTTATATCAGAGTTGCGAAACACTAAAGATGGAAATATGGATGACCAAAGAGATTGATACAACATCTGTGTCATGGAGAAAGTTCTTAACAGTGAATTTAGAACCTCATCTCCCTATGTTTTCGTGTCGCATGAGTTTCTTCATCGATGAGGAGAAGAAAGTTGCCGTGTGTTGTGACAGAGATAACAAGGTATACATTGTTGGAGAAGATGAATACAAAGTATCTCCCGGTTTTTATTTTCAAGATTTTGAAGGCATAACATGTTGCCTAACTGTCTTTGGTTATGTACCTAGATTGGTTTAAATCCTGCAATGTAATAATAGTGTTTATTTTATCTTTTGGTATCTCAGCCGTGGTTTTAGATAAGGCTCTGGCTCCTTTCGTAGAGTAGAGTTTCAATTGAAATCAGAGAAAAGTTTATATGCTTTTCTTTCTTTTTTTTCATTTGAAGCGAAGGTGATTAATTTAAGGCCGCCAAAATGTTTCTTTGCCTTTATGTATCCATGTTATAATAGTTAGAATTTTTATAACATGGAAACGTGAAAACATACAATCGGAGCCTATGTCATGGTTTAACTTGCCCAATTTCGATTCTGAATAGTTTTACTCATTTGTTGTATGTTTAGTAATGTGAACATATAGATATGATATAATGATGGCATCTTTAGGATCTAATTAATAAATCGAGATGCAGAATGAGCATTAGGATATGTAGTAGGGATATACGTCATCAAAACATTGAAGATTAAGAAATGTAGTCAAGTTGGGAAAGCATAAGCCGATAAATAGCAAAAAAATCAAGTATGGTCTTTTGCAAATAAACACTTCGAAAATTGAAAACTCCAATGCAACGAATTTTTTTTGTTAAACCGGTAAAAAAATAATTTTGGTACAAACGAAGCGGGTGACCGAAAACCCGCGGAACCATTCGGAGTGTTAGCTGATAAGTACAGTAGCCTATCAAAATTATATCACTCAATGAAGATACGTATCAGCTAACACTCTCCCTCTCAAGGCCTCAACCTTGGACCTAAATATATCTTCGTTGATTTGTTTCTCCGATCGATTCACCGGAGAAGACACCGATTCCCACCTTCTCTCCGTCGGATCCTTACTCTTCATCGTTTGTGTAAGCTCTTCTTCTAACTAACTGTTCCTCGTTTTCGGTTTTTGATTCCTTGTTCTACGATTGTTGTAAATTTCATGTTTATCGATCCTATTTAGGTTCGATTTCGTGTTCCATCATCGTCTTCTAGGGTTTCACTGATCTCAAATGCTTTGATTAGATATTTATCGAGTAGATTGGTTTCGTATTTTGTTCAATTTTGCGACTGTTTTGATTTCCTCCACAGTTGTGATAATGAGTTTCTCTGCTTGAGTACTTTCATGGTAATTGAAAAAAGAAATGTGGACAATGAGCTCAAGGAGCGAGAACGGTGGACTTTGGGACTATGAAACCTAAAGTATTTCTTAGCTTCTTTTGATTGAAGACGAAATTTTAATTGATTAGAGAGAGTCTCATAGAAGCTTAGCAGCAGTATTTGTGCTTAGTCATTATGTTTCTGGGTATTCTCTTCATGTAATCTTGCTTTGTTGAGATTTTAGTTGGATCAATATCATCATCATACCGAACAGAGATTAATATCTCTATTTTAGTGTTCTTCCTTGTCATTTACTAAGTTATGAGTTGTTGAGAATTATGTTCTAGCAGCTCTTTATCTCTGTTCATCTCATGTTTTCTTCCTTAATCTTGCATGAGCTGTCCTTAAATTCTTCTATAAGTGGACAAGCCTAGAGGTTTACCTAAAGCCCTTATTAATATCTAACATACTGTTGCTTACTTTCTATGTAAAATCAGGTCAGAAACCACAAGACAAACAAACAATGGTGTTTACAAATCTTCCACGAGATTTAGAATCGGAAATACTCTCAAGAGTTCCAGCCAGATCTCTACAAAAGTTGAAACCTACTTGCAAACGGTGGTACACTTTATTCAAAGATCCGGAATTCCTCAAGAAGCACGTGGGTAGAGCGGAAAGGGAGGTGCTCTCACTGATAGGTTTCAGTGTTTATTCAGTTAGTGTCAATCTCTCTGGAATCCACAGCAGCGTTGATCCACCCATTGAAATGACAGGTATGTTTAACAGTCTGAAGGATTCTGCAAATGTCAAAATATTGGAAATCTGTGAGTGCAACGGTTTATTATTGTGCACCACCAATGACAGTAGACTTGTGGTTTGGAACCCTTATACTGGTGAAACCAGGTGGATCCCATACAAATCCAGCACACATTATGAAATGTACCATAAGTTTGTTTTAGGATACGACAACAGCAATAAATCTTGCTATAGCTACAAAATCTTGAGGTGTTACCACGGCTTGATCGACTTTGGTGCTGTGTTTGAAATCTATGAGTTTAACTCTGATTCATGGAGGAGTTTTTATGACAACTCTCCTAATTGTTCCCTTGAATCTAAGGGCGTGACATTGAAGGGAAATACTTACTGGTTTACTTCAGATACTGAAGGCCGCCAATTCATACTCATGTTTAATTTCACAACAGAGAAATTTGGACGTCTCTCTCTTCCTTATCAGAGTGGTGGTTATGTTGATGATGTTGTGGAGACTGGGGTTTTATCGGCTGTTAGAGAAGAGAAACTTGCGTTGTTATATGAGAGGTTTGATGAGCTGACTGATTCATCAGAGATGAAGATATGGGTGACGAATACTAAAATCGATGAGGCCAAAGACTTGTCGTGGAGCGACTTCTTGGTAGTGGATTTCTGTAAATATATGGTAACAAGGATGACGAATGTGCTGAGTTTCCTGGTGGACGAGGAGAAAAAAATGGTGGTGTTTTGTGATACAGACAGTGATCAAAACATGACCAGATTTTACATTGTCGGAGAGGATATATACAAAGAAGTTTATAATGATATTACAGAGGGATCGTTTTCCTATTGGCCACGTCTCGTCAGTTATGCTCCAAGTCTGGTTCAAATTCAGCAAGGTAAAGTGAACCCTGGAGGCAAAAGAAAAAGGTGATTAGTCAATTTAACTAGATCACTAGGGTTGTCTCTGTTTGGTTAATAAACAGAGTAGCTGAACTTCCTTTGTTTATCTTTTGAATCCTCTTTTGCTTTTGAAACTAGGTTTTGGTGATCTTACTCGAATGATTTGTTTATGAGTGGTTTAGTCACTTTCACATCAAAAGATCAATCCTGTTATGGTTCTTTTCATAAATATGTGTGTGTATGTAAATACCAAAGCTGAAGAGACGAACGCAAAAGAGTAGAGAGAGATAATTAGGTTGGTGAAAATAGATATCATCACATGTAAAACTTTACTTAATTAGTGGTAACTAATTAACTACAGCAGAAACAATCTATATATTTTACGGATGTA